TGTGGAAACTTCGAATCCCGAAATGGTACCTGAATCCGTGGGTTTAGCGCCATTCCTTTTCACATAGGGTTTGGGGCAAGACCTGGAAAGCAAGAAAAAAGCACAAAAAAACAAAGACAAAGTAAGGTGAAAGGGGGCCGTCAAGGCTGGGATGTGCGGCCCCAGATTTCACTAGCGAGATCCATTCTGGTGGGGGTCGAGTTCGTTGTGAAAGGCCGTGCTCGATTTCGCCGCATCATCTTCCCCCATACTCAAAAATTTCGATCTTCCGCACATAGCTCTCGCTACATGATCTACATTGCAGCGGACATGCTTCTGCGACATCTGGAATTGTTGCCTCGTGGGAATTTCGGCGTAACGGCGACCTAAGCGAATCAAGAGGGAGGATCAATACGCAAGGTCAGCTATGGAGGCCACGCTATAATCCGAGGAATGTTTCTATATGGGTTTCACTGGTTTCAACTATGATCCGATTTAAAGGGTTTGTATACCCTAAGCATCAAATTTTGCCGCACAGGGTTCAGGCAAAAAAAAGTTTTTTTTAAGACCATTAGACATAAACCCTAACACGGACCGTACATACTACGTAGAATCCCGGGTTCCTGGTGGGACCGCCACGTCGTTGGACTCGAGGTGGATACGCAACCCTCGAAATGAAAAAAAAGGGGGTTATTGAGTCGAGATTTGGTTCGAGATTTGGTTCGCAAATAGAAAACAAAAAGAAAGAGACGCAGGGATAAACCATCTGCAGGAATTAAGCTGAATTTCCGAGAATGCGACTGTACAAAGTACCCCCCAACTTATGTAACGGTATGGTAAAACCAGGTCCCAGGATCAAATGACGGTACCTTTGGTAACAATGGAGGTATGGCAGTGGTATGGCCAGGGTAAATCCAGGCTAAAAGCGGATGAAAGGCATGGGGAAGGGTGTAATAGACGTGTAAAGCACTGTGCCTTGTAACATACTCCGGATCCCCGTAGACACCAATGACGCAGCTAAAATCCCAACTTTTCCCCAATACCGTTATTAACCCTCGCCTCCCTCCTTCCTTTCCTTCCTTCTCCTCCGCATAGGGTGTTCTCCAACTCTCTATATCGAACGCTTTTTTCTTGGCCGCCACTACCGGTACTTGGTGTCCTGTCTCACGGCCGGCGCCAAACGGTGCGTAGGCTTGGTCCCCCTTTGGTTTCTTACTCTCCTCTCTACAACCTCAAAAAGCCTCGATATACCCATTTGCTTTTCTTTGATTCGGCTCCCCTTGCCCTCAGTACGACCCTCAGTTATCTTGTATACTGCTGGATTGGTGTTCTGTGATCTTGCGCATTGGGAGATTTACTTGCCTGAGATACCCTTTTGTTCGTTTGGTTCAATTCGGCCTTCTCGACGAAGCGGCTGAAGAACTTTTGCCTTGACGGCCTGCGGTTCTACCTGGAAATAGACCGCACTCCTATTTCCATCCTATTTTTCAAATCTATTACTTCCCACGAACAGTTTCGCGATCATCGCATGTGTGCCTCGCAGTAACCCACCACCATGATCATTGAAGGTGAGAAGTGGGCGTGTGAAGCTTGCGTCCGAGGTCATCGGGTTAGCAGCTGTCACCATGGTGGTATGTCAAATCTTGAGATGATTCACACAGTGTGGCCGATAATTTCCTAACTATGTCATACTAGACCGCCCTTTGACCCATATCAACAAAAAAGGCCGCCCAGTCTCTCAATGTACCCACTGTCGCGGCCTACGCAAGTCTCGAACAACCCACGTCAGGTGCGAGTGTGGCGACAAGAAAAAGAAATCCGATTCGGACTGCCATGGTGACAAGCGAGATCTGAGTGAGCAATGGCGCTGGCTATCCCCGGTTCCCCCTTTCTGATCGTGAATTACAGAGGACTCCCATCGCTGTGGCTGCTGCCATGGCCAGCGCTGTACTTGTGCGCTGAAGAAGGAATCTCATCTTGACCCCGTGCCAGAGGCAGGTCTGCCTGTGTCTCTGCCGTCCGTCCCGGCTGAACCTATCCGGAAACCCCTGCTCACGACGACCAAGTCCGAGTCGACGTTGAGCGGGCTGACAATCTTCCGCGATGGTCACCACAAACCCGCCCATAAGCATAATGACATGGCCCACAAGTGTGGATTGCCGTACACAATCCCACGATCACATACTATTCACCACCCGTCCGACATGCCTCGCAGGTCGGTGGACCATCTTCCGTTGACCCAATCCGCCTTTGTTCAAGAACCGCTCTCTCTCTCAATGGAGCCTGTGTCCCATTCACGACAGACATCGCAAGAGGGATCCCCCCAAAGTGCCCCTGCATCAGGCTCAGAAGAGGTTCCAATTTCGGCATCTCTTGATCAATCATTCCTCGACAAGTTTTCCCCTCCGACTGCCGCCATGGAGCAACCGACAGATGGTACCGCCAACCCCACGTCTGCCCCGGCCACGATGGACAAGTTTCCCCTCGAGCAAATTATTACCAGCGTACCCCCGCCTCTCGATGTCTCTTCCTTCGCCTCCTTCCCGAATACCTCGTCTAATTCTCCGATTACGTGCATGGCCTTCCAAGATCACTATCAAGACCAGTACTTCACCTCTCCGGATTCTGAATTTCCATTGGGATCTGCTGGGACAGGTGCGCCATCGGTTGACTGGTCGAGTTTCCCGCTGTATTCCGATGCCCCTGCCACTACCAGCACTCAGGCCCCGTCATACGCCAGTTTCGATTACAAGGATTACAACTCGTATCCTTCGGGCCTTCCGCCACCGTCTTCCTCCGGCGATATCTCCGAAGTTGACGAGTTTGGGCCGCTTCCCGGTTTGGGACATGCTAATAATGATGTGCACGATCTGCACAGCGTGAGCGAAGCGTCAGAGTTGGACCATCTCCGTATCAGCTCTGCCTCGTCATTGGTCGGACTACCTCAAGCGCGACTCTTGTCATCCAATGATCTTGAGTCGATCAACATCGACGATTTCCTCAAGTCCGCCAATGAATCTACCGCTGCGCTCGAGCATCAGCTTCAAGCCAGTATGGGAATCGAGAGCAAGTCAATTCCAGCGCAGGACATGTACTCCATGGCCCCTTCGCAGGATACGATTCCCACCTGGCCGGCCAATCTCTTCAATGATGAATCGACCCCTCCTATGGACGACGATTACTTCCGTCAGTCGTGGACTCAATAACCCGGTCCCCAAACCTTTTGCTTCTTCTCTAACTTCCTGGGGTCTCCGCTACCTGCGGCACCTTACCACCACCTCTACACCGTCTTTATGACCTTGATGAGAGATGATGATAAATGCCTTTGCCTTGTTTTCAAACTAGCCAGTTCTAGATCTCTTCACGATAGCATTGAATCTAGAGGGGTTTTGTGATTTTTCGATGGATACCATGTGTCTAGACATGGTTACCGTATATTTAGCACTGTTTCGCTGTATAGACCTATTACGTGTACAATGACCCATATCACCGCCTTATCTGAATACAAAATCTGACATGGCGATCCTGACCGTTGGTATTGTAAAGTATCCACTTGAGATGCTTAGCACTCAGCGATCGATCCGAACAGCTGATCCCAACCACAGCCTATTGAAGATGCCCATTTCAAACTTATTTTATCTACATACCTCTTCCTCTCCACACAAATTTCCAGATCGGAGCTTCGGCGGAGATACCCGATTCATCACGAACAAAAGGTTTCACGAAAAATGTAGCGGTGAGTCCGCCCGAACTTGTCTCAGATCGGCAAGCAGGTTTTCAGCCAATCTGCATCTTCAAAAACTCTACGCTCGATCTCGGACTGCAGCTTGCCATGACCTACAGGAGATCAGGGTCAGGTGTGTGGAACCCCCTGTGACCACAAATACACTTCGGAACTTCCCTGGGTCAAAGAGCTATTGGTTACGTAGTTCAGTCGTCGTTATGGGAAGCGGTACGTGGAAACGTACTATGCGGCTGTACAAGTTGACAAGTAGCGGTGTGTATCTACCACCCCAGATAATGGAATACGATAGTCGACATGCACTGCAAGCAAAACTCGTAATATTGAATGTTTGTCTCCCTGTAAGCTAAGGATCTTTACACACAAAAGGTAGATGTAAGGTGAGGGTTGGAAATCCAGCTCCAGTTCCACTGTCCATTCCAACCACCGTTCTCATTCCAGCCGGTTATCCCGGCACATCTACAGTAGTCGACACGCAAATTTACACGTACTCTGTTTACGGGAATAGGGGCTCTTGCATACCAAGCCTTTCTGGATCGTACATGATACAGCCCGCTAGTCTATGCCACACATGTCACCGGCCCCTTTTCGAACCTTACATGGTGTCTTGCTCGCCATACAAGCCTTGAGTGCATGGTCTTGGCTAATGCTTAGCCCTGCACGGTCCGTGTCGCGTGCAGGGGGTCTCCTTGCTTTATGTGTAACGGGTTGAATGGTGATGGCTGGGATCTGGGAAGGGTGGCTGTAAAAGATAAGCTGAGTACGGAGCAGAAGTAGTAAGAATAGGCGAATTAAGATTTTCCAGGTCGTGTTTTCCTTTTTGCTTGAAAAACGTCTAAAGTCATTCTACTGCCAGGTGGTATAGTATTGTCAAGGGTTGACGTTAGTTTCTGCCTATGTCTGAACTGTTTCTTTCGAAGAATAGCCTCATCACTTGAGACAGAGTATAACATTCTACAGTGAATGGTAGATATAATGATCTGGTGACGTAAATCTCAAACATTGCAATTGCGACGACCAAGATTCGTGGCGGACGCAAGGGAGAGATACATTGTCCCTGCTGTGGAGGTTGTCATTCCGATTCATTTGTATGACTTTCTCGGATAGTTCGGCATCTTAAATGCTTTTGTTTCTGTTGAATTACATCTCTTCATTCGTAAGAAAAGGCAGTAAGGTGGTTCGCAATAGGAAGGAGCTCTTCTGGCTAGAGAAACGACTCCCACCCGCCGTCAACACCATATGGATAAGCCCGTAGAATGAGAGGACAGGGAAACCATCCTTATGCTCGCCGCCTTTTGGCAGGACCTGGGCTTCCTTCTGTATCGGGGCTTTCATCTCCGCCCACCAACCCCCGTGCGTTCTGAAATCTTTCCATAGTCGTCGATCCATCATGTATATTAGGCAAAATCTCCGACTCCAAGCCACGACGTAAATGAAAGAGGAGAAGCTTGGTATAAGCAGCAGCCGTAGCCGCGGCGTAATTTTGCCAATCCTTGTTTTTATGAGAGTCGGCGTAGTCACAAATTCCGCGGATGATGAACGATGGTAGAATGTTCATGATACCAGCGGCTTCCATTTCGAAGCATATGATCCCATGTTCTTCTGCTAGAGCATCTCTCATCTTGGCATCTTTCATCAACTGGTTCCCAGATGCAATCAGGCCGTAATGGACCTTTGGCTGACTGGATGGCCTTGTGGGCCTTAATTGTTCCCTGGATGTGTCGCATTTCTCACATGTTTCCTCGCCTCTAGGATGTGGATACTCAGACACATAGAGTGTGTCGGAGAGGGCTTCAGGGTGTGCATATTCTGGGTTCGCGTCTCTGATTTGTCGCAAGTATGGCTCCAAGGGTTCACGAGACAGTCTTGGGTCGGACTGCATCAGACTTGACACTGACCTCAGTATCCGTGGAGGTGGCTGCAAGTATCCATTCAACTCAGAGCCATGCTCTTGTGCCTTTATCATATCATACGGCACAACTCCAATACGGCTACCAATTGGCTTGCTAACCACGACATCCCCCAGTCTAATATCATTTCGGGCAGACGGAGCCCCTCCTCCAATGCCAACTAGTAAACAGAATTGCAGACGACCAAATGTTCGCCTCATATCTGATGCCACACTGGCAGCCGAGTGTGTTCCGTATTCACCATCCGGGAGGCAGGTTGCGACTATATTGTGCTGGGCCATAGATCCAAAGGCATAGGAGTTTGTATCTGTGAGTGGAAGCACCACATTATAATGTGAAGTATCGAACAAGATCCGCACCGCCATTAGCTCAACATGAAGGGCACAAATGATACCAACGGTATAGTTAACACTAGTCGATTGAGGGGCTATTGAAATGGAATGCCGTGGCGGCTCCGTACGTGGTCTAGCAGAACGTTGTTTCACACTGTCTTCCAGACTTGATGATGTCGAGTTACTGCTACCTCCAATGCCACTGTCAAGGGACTCAGAGGTGTCGCCATCGTTTGTGATTACGGTGATTGACGGGATGGGCTGTCGCGATGGCTTGCCAGCTTCCGGCCAGTGCCATAGATCGGTAGAATTCAGCCCAAAAATGAAAGCACCGCCTTTATTATCTTCAATCTTTAGCCTTTCTCCAGTGACTTGATAAGTCATCGTTGATGGTAACAGAATCTGGGTGACATCCGAGTGTGGCATATTCTTCGTGGTATCGCATTGGCATCTCATTGCCGTGTTCTCTCGGATGTGCCAGATTATTTGATCTGTCAGCATGGGTGGACTTGAAAACAAGTTGCCACACCAGGAAGCAACGATCTCTTTGAGGTCTTCTTGACTGATGACTAGATATGAGTTCCCGGGAGGGACTTGATCCCAATTAGTACAAGCACCAATGGGTTGAATTATCTCCCCGAATCCGCGGCCGAAAAGAGTGATTGCACGAACGGATCGTATGAGATCTATCCAAGCCATCCCCGCGGGATCCAACGTGGCTTCTTTTGCAAAAATCGGATCTCGCTCAGCTGCAAAGTTTTCAAAATCCCAACCTTCTAGTTGTGATCGCAACGCGCACTGTTCTGGGTTGGCACTGACAGCAGCCGATTGATAATCGAAAGCCTTCTCCAGGATCTCATAGAATTGAGTGACGTACTCATAGAATAGCACGGGATCATCGTCATCATCATATATGGGGATCTTGGCGTTGGAATTATCCCCAAGAACCCAAGATGCAGAGTGTGGCCGATATGGCTCAGGATACCTCATCTTAGCTGGATGAAAGATAGTTGCTGCAGAGAAGACACCATTCCTGTCTTCCTCAAGAGAGGCACGCACGAGGTGCAGCAGGGCAGTAGCCCCGTTGACAAGCCACCCACGTTTGTGTTCTTCGTCCCACAGGAGCACGAACCTTTTCTCAATTGATTTCATCTTCCGAATATAATGTCTGCGTATGCCGCCAGATTTGAGATCTTTCAAACCAAAAGAGATATTCCCTGCACCTTCAGTAACTCTGCGCCCCTGTGAAATTGATACATTCGCAAGAAGACAAGTTGGCGAGGCCTTCGGGAGACCAGAAGTCTCGACACTGTAACTCGCATCACGGGACCCTAAACCAATCAGTCCCAATAAGGAGGAATATTCTTTCAAAATATCACTAACCAGCTAGGAAGTTCATTCTGGAGCACCAGCCCAGAATATGACGGGAGTTTTTTAAGTCAAGAAGCTGTATCTTGTCATTGCAAAGCCCCAGCCCATCATTGTATGATATGCGACTGCCATCATTGGATGAAACCAAGTGCCACAGTATGAGGTCCCCTTCAAGTTCAGTTGGCACAAGCATAGTAGAAAAGCCCTTCAAGAAAACATTATGGCCATAGGTGTGAGCATGAGATGTTCCTGCTAGGATTGCCATCATGGCCAAGGGTATTTCCAGACCCATTTGTAGATTTGATCTTTGGCCGATGGGAAAGCCTTCAACCAGAACAGGATTTTTGAATAACCCGTGCCAGCACTGACCATTGACCCGCGAGTCACTTATTGCCATGTGCAGAGTGAACTGGATGGTGCATGTAAAAATTGAGGGATTTGGTTCTACACTTGGGTCACTGGCGTTCGCAATGTAAGGCTTGCAGAAGAAAAGACGATCCTTATCTGGTGAGGTCCTCAGGGCAGACCCCATCCAGGAGAGAATCTCGCCGATCTCTACAATCCAGTTTGGAAGAGCATCAACCCAAACGGACGTTTTGGTGCTATTATTCAAGATTATCGTAAGAATCGTGACTTGCGTATCATCCGGCAAAGTGCCTGGTTTTCTAGATCAGTATTTGAATGATAGTATAAGCCCATAAGCGCGTTCATTAAACTCACCTTCTGAGAGATTCGGATGGCCGGGTTTAGCTATGACTAGCTCTTGAATGAGTTTCAAAATTTTGACCCCGCTGCATGGCCATGTTTTCTGGAGGTACTCATAGCACGTCACAGCCTGGGCCATCACGGCTGATCCTGTCAGTACAATAGCCTGGCCAATGGCAATTTCTGGAGACTCTGAGTACTGCTGTTCCTGGAGAAATGCGATGGGGTCCCAATCCATTCGGAACATCATTGTTAAACGTTCTGGGGGTACCTTTCGGCTGATTTGGGGGGAAGCAGGCAGAATTTGAAGAATGGTGCTGGATATTTCTTCCAGTGTGTTTGGTAGCGTGTACATCACCATACATTCTCGGAGGATATCAGCACGTAATTTGCCATAGGAAGGATCGGACCGTAGAAGGCTTTTGTAGGCTTGAATTTCAAGATTTTTTGCGTCTGGGTCTGCATTTTCATCATTCTCATGCGTTGATATATCTATAGAGTCAATGTCAAACCTCCCGAGAACCGGGTAATTGGCAGGTTTTGCCAACATATCTTCCAATACTTGCCATCTGCTCATCTTCTCAGCCAATGGCATAATTTTAGAGTCATTATGACTCTCCAAAGACGGCCTCTCTGTAATAAACTCTCTGTAACTCGCGGTGATCTCCCTAGACTTAGTGTTAGCCCAATCAAGGAACCGCAGAGTGCAAGATTCATTCAGCCTACATGCGATATTGTTGAAGAAAGAACATCACGTCTAAATGCAGCTTTGACTTGGCCTTGTGACCGATACTGGAGGCCACTCCTTTCAAAAGCTGCGGCAGAGCGTTGCAGATCCTATCCATCATTTCTTCTGAAATTAGAGAACCACCCACGAGGTTTGAAATGTCCTCTGCAATCGCAGAGACATACGCATGCGCAGTTGTGCCCGAGAGGGGAAAATCTGACGAGCAAAGGCTTCTACGTCTTTCCCTCTGAGCCATGCGCTCTATTTTTCCTAAAGCAGACACTGCATTTTGACTCATAAGATACGGATGTGTCTTTTGGTCTAGACCGGTGTTTTGTGGTGAAGAGTTTCGTTGACTAGATGAGCCATATCCAGATTTGGTGATTGTTGGTATCCCCAGGAAGGGTCTTTCATGTGTCTCAAAAGAAGAGTCCATCTCATTTTCTCTCATTGGAGTCCATCTAGTCCTACCATCGCCATGCGCGAGTGCGCCTTGTTCCACGGAGACTAGCATATCACGTATGGGTTGTTTGTAGCTGGACCTTCTAGCCTTGAGCTGGCTTTTTGACAATCGCGCTGCTGAAGTGAGCCACAAGAGCAAGTCTTTAGATATTAACAAGTAAGAGATATGCTCCATGTGCTTTCCCAAGTGAGCGACGTGCTTTTCCAATGTATCACTTATTTTCCCACAAAATACGCATGGCTCACTCTGTAATGGCTCGGGGGCTTCTTGTCGAGATTTCTCCAACAGACCCAAAGATTCGACTTCCTGAATCGGAATATTGTGTTGTTCGAGAAGGTGTTGGTAGAATTTATCTTGACGGAAGCCAGAAAAGTGATTGCATTCATCGAAGTAACAGGTGAACCGTTCAAGCCTTCGATGCCAGATTTCTTCATGGCTCACCCAATCAGCCCTCTGGCTGAACGCATGGGGCCCGGTACAATCAGTAAATGTGCACATATATGGTCGAAGGTCACCGTGCACATGACTCGTCCAGTCAGACGGGGTTTGGATTGATTTCACTTCAAAACATATTGGACACTCGAACCTTGCTGGAAGTCGCATCACCGGTGGAAGAAGCATACCAGGGGGGAATTGCGCAATGGAACTGTCGTCGGCAGACAAGAAATGACGAGCTCTGCCGCCTTGTTTGAAGCAGAAGGACTCCGAAGGGCATTGGTTGTCAGCCACAACGCGGGAGTGACGAGTATCCGCTTCTTTCAGTAAATGATAGCGGGATTGCTGCTCTTCTGCGAAGCGTGTGAGTAATGTACCAGCCATCCGTGGACAGAGTCGTCCGATCCGAAGGATGAAGTCATTCAAGGCTGGTTTTGGAGGTAAAGGTCGTGCCGAGAGTCCCATAGAAAGCAAAGCATTATCATTTTCCTCGTTCGTTGATATCCCATATATCCCGGCCATGCCAAGTGGGCCAGTAAAGCTCATGTCTAGTCGGTTAGCCAAGCTGGTAGACGTCCGTAATTGGGAATTAGAGGGAGTTTTCATAAATTCCGCGTAGTCTTCATTTTCATGACTGGGAAGCTTGAAGTCAGGGGCAATTCCTGCTGGCTCTTTGCCTTTCGAGTCCTGGCTGGTAGGATGTGTTTCAGGCTCGTGAACAGACGCATATTCCTCAGCGCTAATATTTCTATCATGATCTTGGGTGGTCATATGGTGATTATGTTGATTAGACATAATCAGCAACCCTCTCGTTTCTTGATCGAGCTAAATCCCTACCAAATGCTAATTGTGAGATGATACAGGTGTTCGGGGGTATTTTGCGTGGTCGCGTTGAGTGTTTGGGTGCTTTGGTGAAAATGATTTCGTAATGAGAAAAGAGGGGATCTTTATCAGCCGCGCCATGCACCGTCCAGTAGCGCTTACCATACGGAGGCTGTTACAGTACATACCGCCATACCGCAAAGGGTTGGTGCGATAATAGATAGAGGTCGCCTTGTAAATAAGCTATTGGGGCGATCAAAAGTATGTAATGTGTCATGATGTATGTGTACCTCACCAGCGAGTTGTAGCAGTAAGACAGCGAGCTGGGCAGTGCGTAAATGTTCCAGAAGGCTGTAGGAGATTATTGCAGCTTCAAATTGTCTTTATAGATATAAGCAATGCTTGTACCCGGTCCTTCTGGACGAAGCTTTGTCCATTGGAAATTTCCTTGTAGTAAAGCGAACAGGATCAATAAATCTACCCAGATGCACAGATGCCCATCTAGATCCATGATGATCTTCATGTCCAACGCACACCTAACTCCTAGGATCTCGTAACTGGCCAACCAACCACTCAATGCCCTCATCAATCCCATCCCACTTCAAGACTGACCCCTCAACCACCCTAAACTCCTTCATACCAACCTCCTCAAGCTCCATAGCCCCCAACACCTCCTTCAAAGAACACTGGTCCTCACAATCGCGCTGATTAAGAAGAACAAGCCAAGGCACCTCATCAAACTTTGACGGCGTCATTTTCGCAATTTGAGCCTCCTCCGCAGACACATCTGTTCCATCCTGCCTCCTCTTCAAAATCTGCTCTTCAACCCTTCTCCTCTCTTTCACGGTCATCTCCTGCGCGATCCAATCAGGCGATTCGTAGAAATCGCCTTTCGAACGAGAATTGACCACCCAGATTGCTGCGTCAGCATCTTTGTAAAAGTCTCGTCGGAAGACCTTCCAATTTGATGGTTCGCTGTATCCGATGTCACTGGCGACGAATGTGATGTTTAGGCGGGTGTTGTGGCCGACATGGACTTTCACTTTGTCGGGGTATCGACAGGCTATATTGCGGTGGGTTTTTATTGGGGCGCCTTTGTCTGTTAGACCGCGGAGGAGCGATTGTTTGCCTGCGCCTTCGTAGCCGAGGATGGCGATCTTGTAGGTTGGCTGTGAGGGTGTGGGGGTAAAGAGATTTGTTATATAGTTTATTACGGCGGCCATTTTTGGTGTTGGGTGATTTTTTTGTGGACTCAGTGATGAGGCTTTCGGTGGCTTTATATGTTTCTAGCTTGGATTGGAAGACTATTATTGTGGATACCTCTAGCGCGATGGCTGATTAGCATCTGTGGAGCATCTAATCTATGGCCCCGCGGTGGCTTATGATCTGACGACATTGTCCAGTATTTACGCTGTATAAATGAGAAATTTGTCACTTGATTCCAGCAGTGCCAAAAGTACAGACGGTCTATATGGTATCAAATCAAGGCCCCATACAATCACATATGTCAAGTAAGAAGCCAAAGGGATGAACATGGTATGGAGCGGAACGAGACGGTGGAAATGCGTCGGCTCGTCCCACAAGATGAAATGAGGAGTAGAAGCAGATCAGAGGAGCATATATAGGATCGAGGTGACAGTTGCTATTTTATGATCTTTTTATAGTATATGCCGTCGACCTTACCGGTACTTCTCCAAAAACTCGGAGTGGAATTTCACGATGCGCTCGACCCAGTCGGTGCCGGGTGCAAGGAATGTCGTACGGAAGTGAAGTGTGTTTTCCTTTTGGCCGAAGCCGGAGCCGGGGACAACGCACACACCAGTAGCGTCGAGCATACCCAGGCAGTAGAACTCGTCAGCGGCGCGGCCCTCAGCCTTCGCAGCCTCGATAGCCTTAGCGGGAAGATTAATGGTGGGGAAGAGGTACATAGCACCCTGGTGGTAATGATTAGCATGAAAGGACCTATGGGTAATGGTAGTGAATGGTGCTTACCTGAGGCTCCTGGCACTCAACTCCCTCCATACGCTGGAAGGCATCGTACAAGGCAAGGGCACGCTTGTGCAAGCCATCCCGGATGCCATTGAACTCCTTCTGGTATAGCTCGAAGCTGGGCTCACCCTCGCGAGGGGGGTTGACCATGGTCTCGAGCAGGCACTGTGCAACGACCGGCGGACACAGACCAATACTGACGAGCTTGTAGATCTGCTCCTGGACCAAGGGATCGAAACCGACCAACTCGAAGTAACCACCACGGTGGCCGCACTCGCCAACCATGCCCTTGGAGGTACTGTGCATAGAAACCAGCTCCACATCGTCATACTTGCCAGGAGTCTCCTGCTGGAGCTGGCGCAGGCGCTTCTTGAACGAGACAAACTCGCCCGTGAAGACGTTGGTCTGGTACACCTCATCGGCAATGACAACCAGGTGCTCCTCGGCGGCGATGTCGAGAACACCCTTGATATCTTCGGGGCTCAGCGAGGCACCAGTAGGGTTACCGGGATTGATCACTGCGACGGAGCGCACATTAATGTTCTTAGCCCGGGCGTCTTTGATCGACTGCTTAATCGCGCTGACATTGGTACCCCAAGCCTTCTGTTCTTCCAAGTAGTAAGGCACGCAGTGTGCATTCAATAGCGACAGAGTAGCAGTGTAAAGTGGGTATTGGGGGATGGGAACCAGCACACCGGCATTGGGATCATTGCAGATGACGCTAAGCAGGGTGCTCACACCAGACGAGGCACCTGCGGTCAGGAATAGGTCCTGCGGGTTGGCAGGGAATCCATCACGCTCCTCAATAAACTTGGCCACGCTGTTCCGGATTCCCAGAGCGCCCTGACTGTGGCTGTATGCACCAACGCTTTGCACATTGGCCAGCAAGACCTTGGCCCGGTCAATCACATCCTGCTTGTATCCAAAGGAGGTCTTGAGTGCCTCCGTGTTCTCCAATAGCAAGGGGTTCTCGACGAGACTGAGGACTTGACGGAAGAAGGTGATTGGCTTCTGGTCGAGTTGCTGTGGGTTACCGATGTTCGCAAAGATGACGCTGTCAAAGGGCAGTGACTTGTCACCATCAGTCAGGCGCTGACGGTAGGTCTCAGCCTTGACCGCCAGCTCACCCCGCACGGCGTACTTGGCTGCGCGAATGTGCTGGTTGATGTTGTCGACGTTCAGGCATTTCTTCGACTGGGTGGACAAGGTCCGCTTGGTGTAGGCAACACTGGTTTGAGTCATAGTGGGCTCTGAGATTCAACCCAGACGTTAGTGAGATATCAAAATGTATAATCCAGTACAAATATGGTAGTATAGATGAGGTGGAGAAAGCAGAACAACGATGGGGCTTATAAGGTGGGACAGCCCCTCCCCCCACGGGATACCATCCGATCTATATATGGTGCAACACACCATCCCACGTACCTGACCAAGCGGAGAACCTCCCCGCAGCACCGATTGCGGTCGGGCGAAGTAGGAGACCATTCGGCCGGGTCGTCAGGGCCCGCAACGGAGATGCCCGTACACTGGAGGTAAGCTTAAATTGCCAGGACATGATGATAGTCAATCAGCAGATCGTTCTATCTCTTTGACCTCTTCAATAGACGCGATGATAGGACAAAACGGCTACAGCGCATGAAGAAAAAAAGAATCCAGGGACCGATTGGGCGGTGTGTGAGTCAGCATTGAGTTTCCCCACATTCGGTGAACCAAAGATAACAGGTGTGGAGTCTAAATCGTTACCGGACCAGAGCCCGAGGAAGGTTATTCACGGCATTGACAAACGATAAGAAAGGGCGCAAGATCTATGACGCTCTAAGCGCAGTTGGCTGGGGTCGGGCTGGCGCTAGGTCGATCTTTCCTCGGAAAAGCTTGCCCGGCCCTAGTGGACTCCGTGAGCCCGCATCGTCACTTCGGAGCCGCCCGATGCGGGGATGTTTATTACTAGCACTCTCCACCTTCTACAATTGGGAAAGATTATTAAAGTATCATAGATAGCATAAAATCCAGCCGTGGACTGGAATTCTAGGAACAGGTTACAATGCTAAAAAGTTATATCGATCCGTGACAACATCGACGGTGGGTTTCTCTGGTTCGTATCAGAAATACATTTCCCTTTCCTCCATTTAACTGCGTTCACTACCCCGAAGACGGACAGCTTGTCCATACTTCTGGAGCTTGGTGATCAAGGCATCACCGTGCTTCACCACATCCGCATATTGCTTGTTCTTATCGTCAGGTCGGTTGGTCTCAATGATCCCGTTGACGCGGTCAATAGTGCAAGCAATACGGTTGCTGGAGATGAACTTGGCCAGGTCCCTATATTTGGATTAGCATGTGCATAGCCTAGATTGCCGAAGAAATACATACCGGTCCAGATAATCCACAGTCACACCAAAGTCGTTAGCCATAGTGTTCAGGCCTACCACCCGGTAGCTCTGGAGAAGCTGCTGATAGGCGCGTAGTCGCATTTCCCGAACGAACCAGGCCCGGTGCTCGTGCAGGTAGCGATCCTGAGTCAAGAACTGATCTTCAACACCGGCAAGGGCCACAAAGAAAGAGCGGTAGTTGCCATTGTACAAGCTGTTCACCAGGTTTGCCAGCGGGGAGAAATCAACCGGGGCCTCGTTCTCTGCTTGCTCGCTAGAGCCAGCTCCCAATGTAGTCAAGTTGATGGCAGTGGTGGCACCAGCAGCAGGAGTTGATCGTGATACAGTCGCGTCCTTCATCTCCTCTTCCCGAGAACCAGGGCCCGCTGAAATCTCACCAGAGAGGGCAGCCAATTGGTCCTCTCCAGCGCCCAGGATGGCCTTGATCTCCGGGGCGTCGACAACCTTGGCTTTAAAGTCCACCCGCTTCAGGGACAATGATCCCGCAAGTACGGAGTAGATGACGAGCGAAGAGTAGCTGCAAAGTTCGTAGCTGGTGAATGTGGAAAGACTATCAAGGAGAAGAGGAGCAGCCAAGCTGTATGAGCGGATGGTAAGCAGGTGCAAACCCTTGTATGCCTTGAGACGATTCCTTCGGTCCCAGTCACCACCGCTCTCAACCAGGGTCTCTGCGCGTTCGATCGTCTTCTTCACATACAGAGCATCGCCGAAGAACAGGCCGATGCGGATCATGGCCAGGACCAAGTCGATCTTAGTTCCCAGGAAACCAATCTTATCAAGCAGCTCGTCGTATGACTCGATGGCTTTATCCTGTAGAATATTGGCGTTAGAGATAAATTCTGTTCATGGGGCTGAGAAGTATTCCCTACCTTATCACCAACCCGGGCCCAGAACTCCGCCCGCTTGCCCCGAGCAGCCTGTACCTCAGTCTCACCCGCGGCCTCCTCTGCGTCAACCTCTTCCTTCTGAATCGTCTCGAGCTCCTTCTTATTATCGTCAAGCAGAGTCTGATAGAGTTTCTCGTCCCACGGGAAGTCGATGTTCTGAGGCGACTTTCGGGAGGCGAGCATGTTGGAGGTGATGAGAGGCTTGGAGGTTCCAGTGTGAGAATGTTGTGTGACACCTTCCCCAGCATTGTTCAAAATACCCTCCGTAGGATGAGCCAGATGGCGGTAGAAGGGCGCCATCTTGCGTTCGAGAATGGCATCTTGTAGCTTCTTCAACGATGACTGACGGGTGGACGAAGCGCATGCAGGGTTGGAGAGGTTGAAGACATGTTGGGCGAGAAGAAGATCAGGGTACTTGATGTACTGTGGATCAGACCCCATGATGGCGGATCGGGACTGATGAGTGATACAAGAGAATGAAGAATCGGGGGTCCGAGATGCAGAGTGCGTTGATGAGATGGGACACTGCAAGGAAGCGATACATCACGTAGCTGGACCCAAGCTCAGCTGGCGGAATGTTTCTCCGGACCGACTACTCCTGGATGCCTCAGGCCACAAAATTTAATCATAAGTCATAAAACTAGCCCTGTTTAAGTGAAGACAAGGTTCCCGTTGCCCCTTCCGACGCTGTTTTTGATCTTCTCTTTCTTTTCATTGGATGTGGCTGATAAATTGTATGAATCACGGTCAACCATATCACCACATAATCCGTAGCTGGAATTCCTACTTCTTCCATACCTCATCACATAATCACATCACACTACTCTACACGTTCTGACGTCTACGATCAAGATCGCAGATTTTTCAAACTACTTGATTTATTACAATCACACCAACTGACAAAAATAATGGCCTGCGATTCATTCCGAGAGGCCGAGGAAGCTGATGCTTTTCCATTATTACAAACTACCTCCATAGTACACACCATCGGACAGGGCTTCTGCGGCACGGTATGGGCCTCCGAGAAAGGTCCAGCTTTCAAAAGAGAGGATGGTGGACCCGATCGATCTTTGAAAAATGAATTTGATATGCACCAGCGAGCTCTTCAAAGCTTACGAAAGATCACAACTCTCCAAATTCGCATTCCAGCCTGTTACGGCTTTATCGAGGTGAATAATCAGAAGTGGTGGGTCAAAAATCATCAAATATTCCCACCAGGCTTCTGGGCGCCATGCAATATGATCCAGTCTCAGCGAATACCGCCTTTCCCAGGGCATGTGAGAGGACTTCTCATCAAGAACTACTGTCCCCCAAATCTCAGACAGGAAATCATCACAAGCGAGCCTAATAAAGACTGCTTGGTTAGGCCGTATTTAGGCCGAAGAAGAACGAAGAAAGGATATTCAACGTCGCGATTCACGGCATTCTCTCTACGAAATTTCCCACTCCATCTGGATCAAATCGAAACCCTTATGACAGCAAATGATATAATGCAGTATGCAAGAGTTATGGCTGAGACTCTCGCGATGATGCACTGGATTGGTGAAATGGACGGAAACGATATTGAATTTGTCCTTGCACCACCCGTCCGGGATTCTTGCTATGAGAAGCATTCAGAAGGTATCACGAGGGCATCTCTTTCCAATGGTCTGAAAGTAGATTCTGATGCTCTTGGAAGCCACTCAATGTGGGCCCTCGACTTTGACTTATGTAGGAGAATAACGATGGATTCAAAAGGTGTGCAGCAGGCTGCTGCAGCTTTTTGGCGCAATGATCCCTATTATCCCCGACCATCGAAAAACTCTGAGAATGAAATCGCCTTGTGGTTTGCATTCAAAGAGCATTATTTACGAATGAGTGAAGCCTGTATTGACATTGCATGTACGACCTATGAACCACAAGAGGTTGAGAAACTACGTGCTCTACCAAAGCAGGTCATCGGTCTCATTGAACAGCGTGGTGACTCAAAAACTTAGAGCTAGATTCAATTCATTGGGTTTAACCTTCAAGATTGCTAGTATTAAGTTGCTCATAATAAAGTGTTAGTGTCTGTCTCTGCACATGCTCGTAGTTTTTGGTCATGAGATTGAGAACAGAGACATGTTGAGTCAGACTAACGGAAAGCCAAGTGCCCTCAGAAGCCTTGATGCTTTTTATAGCGGTGTATCAAGTGTTTCCTTCCCCAAATGGATCGACAATCTGGAAGCAAATTTGCGTCAAGTAAGAGGCAGAGCTTGCCTGGGGTCAGAGGTCGCCCTTCCTACAATCTATTTAGCGCTGTATGCTGACCTAGCTCTCGCAGGCTCCGTGATTGGCGATTTCCCTTGGCTTCGTCTTGGGGGTCCTGGCCATCATCCATTACATTCGCTCCAGTAACCACAGCGTTGGAAAGGGCCCCGGTTCTGGAGTGGGAGAGTACAAGCTGAAAGAAGACAGCAGAAATTACAAAGCTATAACAGACTTTGCGTCATAGAGAAGCTTTAGTATTGTCTTCTGAGTTAGTGCATGGAAATTTGATCGATTTTCTCTATCCTGCGCCATCTATTGACGAAAACTCGCTAGTCGGAGCTTGTGCGATTTGACCACCCCTTGCACCGGATTTTACTGATTTTTCCACGACAGGAGTAGGGACGATGACTTTGTCTTTGTGGGATATAGCTATGGCAGTCTGGTAATTGAAGAGGTAGTGAAGCTCCTTCTACGAGGTATAGCTATATTCGACAGGCGCTTCTTTCAGCTGAACGGAGGCACGAGCTCAATGATATCACGGGACAAAGAAGGGCGATAATTCTTTTCATTAAGTACACGCAAGTCAAAGAGTTAGAGAAAACGGAGCGGAAACTGGATGCGCTAGGGAGATAAAACAATCGAAATCTCTTTTATCTCCCTTTTGTCATGCATATGTCGATCGATCTAGTTCATGACAAGCTTTCTTATCATAAAGTTGACCCGCATGTCGCGCGATGGTGCTGCAGGGCGTTTAAGCATGAGGTCGCGTGCTCCCCCCCTTTAGTCATCATTGCCTGATTCTACGAGTCAGGAACCAGCAGGCAACCACCATTATACACGCGGAATCTTTCCCCTTTTCCTATCTATCCTTTTCTTTACCTTTTTTCTTCTACGGTACAGGCCTTTATTGGTGAAAACAGCCGTGAATACTCCGTGTCCTTGTACAATGTCTCAGCTTGGATCGAATCCACCAAAAAGTGGATTTTCGGCCCCAATCTATCGAACGCCCCGCACGTGCAACCCTTCATAGGACATGGAGGGCTGCAAATGCAATGGAATTCTTGTCATCAGATACTTGTTTAGATCCCTACATGCGTACTCGGAAGCTTGCGTGTTGCGATCAGATCATATCTTTACAGCACAAGCTTTTCGGCGTGGCCGGTTGAGGCACCGTACTCCGTAGACGGAACAGACCGAGGACAAGCCATGGGCCGGTCTGAGCGCAGGTGATAGAATAACGGCATTTAATTGGTCGCACTCCCCCCAGCTTGGAAGGTTGACGCTTAGCGTATAAGGAAAAAGAGTGGAAAAGGCCCCCACTGTCCCGCATCCCGCTCCGTCGATTGGTGATTGGGGAACCTTCTACAACATTCACAGGCCGACGCTGATCTGGGTTTGTTATCGGCTTTAATTGATTTTTTTTAGCGTCGTTTTTTTTCTTGGTTTGATTGTCCTCGTGCAATTGCCCTCGTGCTACTTATTGCCTCCTGTCAGCCCTACTTCCTCTCCTCATTCATCTGTCACCTCAGCTCGAGTCTTCAAACCGAGGGGTACATTGAACCGGGTCACGCTACCACTTGCGTTTTTGTACCGTCGATCCTGAAGCTTATCTCAAAGGTGAGACAAATCTCCCGTCTCACGCGCTTCGACGTCAAAACTGAAAGTCCCTTAGGACTACCGCGACGGCGACCCGCAAACATGACTTCCAAGGAGATCGAACCACAGTCATACCCGGAGAAGGGGCCTGGTCCACTTGAGGAGGGTGCATATGACCTGCCACCGCTTGAAGATAGGACCAAGGGTCGCTGGGAGCGCAGCTGGCCTACTATCGCTTGCGGTGCCGGTCTGTTCTCTGATGGTTATCTCAATGGCGTAAGTGCTCAAAAAAGACCTGCATAGGCGCGCGCCTGCCCTATGGCCATTGGCCTCACGTGTCATGTTGCTCTGTGAGGGAAACATGGTTACTGACATCTATCATTCCAGGTCATTGGCCAAGTCAACACGATTCTAGACTTCCTCTATCCGACTGTCTACGCCAGCTCTACGGCCAGTCAGAACGTCTCATCGATCGCCTTTGTCGGAACGGTGGTCGGAATGCTGATCTTTGGCTACACGAGTGACCATTGGTCGCGAAAGTGGTCCCTGATGATTTCGACCATCATCCTATTCGTTTTCGCAGCTCTCTGCGCAGGTTCCTATGGTTACCATGACAGCACCTACGGGATGTTCGCAGCACTCACTGCTTATCGGTTTTTCATCGGAATCGGCATTGGTGGTGAATATCCTGCCGGCTCGGTCGCCTGTGCAGAGAATACCGGCGAGCTCAAGGAGGGCCACCGCAACCGGTGGTTCATCATGTTCACTAACTTCCAGATCGACTTTGGTTTCGTAGTGTCGGCTTTGGTGCCCATGATTGTGTGTCTTATCTGCACTCAAGATCATCTGCGAGCGGCCTGGCGTATCTGCTTGGGCTTGGGTATCATTCCTCCCTTGAGTCTGGTCTACCTACGATACAAGATGAAGGAACCAGAGGAGTTTAACCGACAGCGTATGCGCGTCTTTCCACTAAGACTGATCTTCAAGTTCTACTGGAAGCGCCTGGTAAGAAATCCCTGCACTGAACCCCGTAATTGTTTGTACTAAAAATGGCTCTAGTTTATCGTCTCTTTGATCTGGTTTATCTATGACTTTTCCTCGTACTCCTTCGGTCTGTACTCCTCGAAATTCCTCGCACTGATTCTACCCGCGGATGCACCGCTCTGGAAGACTTTCGGCTGGACCACTTTGATCTACCTTTTCTACATCCCCGGTTCCAGCCTCGGAGCCTTTTGTAGTGACTGGATCGGCCCTCGCCAGACTTTGGCCATAGGCGTCGCTCTTCAGGGAGTGGTTGGATTCATCATGTCCGGATGCTACGAATGGCTTGCCACCCAGGAGTATATGGGCGCTTTTATCGTGGTTTACGGGTATGTGGATTCCATGGTAATGCTATTCAGGCTTTCACTAACCAGCATAGTGTCTTTCTGGCTCTGGGCGAATTTGGCCCTGGTGACAACATTGGCCTTGTCGCAGCCAAGACTAGCGCTACCGCCATTCGGGGACAGTACTATTCATATGCCGCGGCCATTGGAAAGATCGGTGCTTTTGTGGGCACGTATGTCCTTCCTATTGCCGCAGATAATGCCCCAAACAAGGTTCGGGCTGGCCAAGATCCTTTCTTCATCTCCAGCTCTCTCTGCATCTTCAGTGCTTTCCTGGCTTGGTTCCTTCTCCCCCAAATCAACCAGGTACGCTTCCCATTCTGTGATATACTACGCTCAATCTTAACCCTGTACAGGACACCATCACCCACGAAGATGACAGGTTTCGCGAGTTTCTGGCCTCAGAGGGCTACGACACGTCGACTCTGGGTAAGTAATTACTGGGCCCATCCTAGCCCAGGCTCACCCGACGCCAAACCGCACACTCAACGATTGCTATCACGCTTATTATTTATTGCCCACACGCTCCTGCTGTATACCCCACGATAAATGTGCTCTGGATCTGACACCGAATGCGACAATCCACGGCTCAGTAATCAATCCCGCGATGATATGGAATAAGAAGCCCGTGCGACGAACCAGCAACATAGATTCTTGCGACATGATTCATGAGAAAACCCCTGCAATTAACTCTGACATGATGGTGGGCATTTTCCGGGCTGATCAACGGGTGATCTACCTCGGCGGTGCATTTCCGAAACATTCTATTGCTCTTGTATGTAACCAGCTTAATGTTACTTGCGTGTTCAAACAATAATAAGTAATAGTCTGAAGATTACGCTCCCAGGCTCTTTTCGGCATTTTTTTTTCTGCTCAAAAGTACAAGTGAATGGAGATAGTGATGTTGATGCAGTGAACCTAATCATGCAGCGACGAAAACCGATCGGAAGATAACTCGCGATTATGCCACAAACCACAAAAAAACGCTCTCGATATGGAGTAAGAGCATTGAAGAGTTAGCAAAATATGATTCCTAGCTAGATCAAATGAAAATAAGCAAATCATAGCAAAAATCAAGATAAGCATTTCACATGAAATGGAGATGGAAGACGTCAGATCGGGGGGACCGGCCACTCCACACTTTTCCAGCCGAGGTTGCCATCGGCGGCTCCAGACGCCGGTCAATTACCGGTCCTCCCTTTCACCACCCGACATTAAATCAACCATCTCTTTCCTTTTAAACATCCTTCATCCGCTTGTGACTTCCTTCCTTTCCCGTCTTCGAAGCCGGACCCCGAAATCACCCCAAATCCCATCCTCGCGTGACCGGAACTTGGATCAGCAAACATGGTCGCCGACGCTCTCGTTTACCACCCAGCACTGGCGCACTGGCTGCGCTTCGTCGCGACAACCGGTATGCACATGCCCCAGTAAATCCCATTTCTGCGAGCCAAATCTAGCCAGACCGAGAGTGTCAAAATGAGCACAGTGTAGTACACTCACTGCGATGATGCCCCTCTCGGAATCTCCTGATGGGGACGAAATGGCGAAGCTCGATTCAGCGCAACCCAACCTAATCAAGACATTCCAACTAACAAATGCCTCTTTCTTCCGTCCAGTTGGTCGTGATAAGCTCCTCCGTACCCTCCAATACTTCTCCCGCTTCTACGCCTGGTACCTGTACCGCACCAACAAGCCCCAGTCCGCAATCGACCCCTACAATGCCGTCAAGAAGCAGTTCGGCACAACGCGCAAGATTATGCGTATCGGCAAGTTCGCCGAGCACCTCAAGGCTGCCTCCGTCGCCCTCGACAACAAGGGTCCTATTGACCCTGTCCTGCGCTACCTGAGCGTCGGTCGCCAGCTCGGTTACGCCGGTTACCTGTCCCTCGATATGGTCACCGTTGTTGATGCTATCGGATTCCGCAAGCTCGAGTCTGCGAAGCGTTTGCAGGAGCAAGCATACCGCGCATGGGCCGCTGGTCTGCTGTGCAGTGCTCTTGCGGGTCTCTACACTCTCTTCAAGCTGCAGGAGAAGGAGAAGACTGTTGACCGGAAGGAGGGTGAGGGTGTTGTTGAGGCTAAGAAGATTGAGAAGTATGTTTCATGTTTTCTGGGTATTTTCAAGAAGGATTCATGTGCTAACGTTCTATATAGGGAGCGCTCTGCTGCTCGGATACAGCTCTTCTCTGACGTGTGCGACTTGGCCGCTCCGTTGTCTGCTATCGGCGTCCTCAACCTTGACGATGGCATCGTCGGTATCACCGGTACCATTACCTCCCTGATCGGTGTCTGGTCCCAGTGGCGCAAGACCGCCTAAATGGAGTCCGCATTCAATAAGTGAAATTTAGTGAACAGGCTCGGCCATACCTAGTCGAGCTTGCGTGCTGGTAGAAGGACCATGTTCTTATACCAGCGGAGAATGAAGGCTACGTAGGTGTCATTTTTGACTACTGCGTTATGAGTTTGACAGTTTCCGCGTTTATATCCTTGTCATGAACAACTTGTATCTCTTTTTTGAAGGGGGAATGTCTAGATGACCCGTCTTCGAGTATATAGCAATTTCATTCCGTCTTCTCTACGACTGAACCTTCGGTAATTTTAAACGGCAAGTTTGTGTATCTCGGTTGAAGATTTACCGGTATCTCATTCGTAAGGAAGCTAACAGTAGAACCCAATCTCGCAGCGGTGGATATCATTCATCAAAGCCACAAACCCAATACCCCGTGTCTCATAAACTCGTATTGCTTCTCATCACATCCATAACTCATCTCCATCAGTCATCGCGGGCGTGGTGCTTAGACAGGGCAAGTCTAAAACCGTCAGTAACCACCCGAATACAAACAAAAGGACCAACGTACCGCGCCACACGATCCACAGGTCTTAGTACCACCAGCCATAGCGGCAGAGCACTTGGGGCAGCTAGCGTGTCCAGACATAATGTAGGATGGGATCTTGTTGATCTATGAGCCAGTCAGAAAGAGCGTTCACGAGGACCGTCGGGAATGTGCATGCAAAGCCACGATCGATTAGAACACCGAATATCGTACCTAAAGAGGTTGGTCTGGCTACCAAGGTAGGTGAAAAATGCAAGGCGAGTGATCGTTAGGGAAAATGTCAGCGAGGGGCAGAAGAAAATAATAATCCACTTTGTGTTACCCCGCCTCGGCCCCGCTTTATGATAAGCTGGTCGTGATGTGCAGGCTACATGGATGTTGAGTATAGATACAACCTTAATTGATCTTGGGTTGCATAATAGTATCAACTTTCAGGTAGATGCCTGGCTCTTTTGTAAAGGACGTAACTCGAGCTTAGAGAATGACCTGTTCTAGAGACAGCGCTCGTTAGCCCTATGAGCAGGCTGTTCCCGTCAGACTATGGATCGATTTGAATATCTGTAAGATATTCGAATATTTACTATAAGATGTTTGAGAAGGAAATAATTTTAAGTAAAGTTCATTGTGTGCTCATATTCAGGGGGCTAAGACCCTGGACCACCGCCTTTTGTAGTCCAACTCTATCTATACATCACTACTCATTCTCTATATCCGTATCATGCTCACAAGTCCACATAATCCCCAGCTCCTCGTTCGCATCCGCATACATCGTATCCCTAGCCTCATCCCCCAAACAAAGCGACGGTCGTTTATCAAACCCATGAATTGCCTCCTCAATAATCAAACCCCCACAATGCCTCATCCTCCCCTCATCCACAAACTTACAAATCTTGTCCCTCAACGCATCCCCCTCAACAAGCAACTGATCCCACCCACACGTATAAATAGACACAGAAGGCGGGAAAGCCGCAAGAAATAGACTAGCCGGCGCCAACGCAGGCGATAAATACGGATGCGCCATATCAACACTACCATCCTCCTTCTTCGGCAAATTCTTATGCAAAAGATACGACTCATCAAAGAAGGTCAGAACCTTTGGCGGAATCATCGACCGTTCAGCTGCAATGGGATTTGTCGCATCTCGCTCGGAGCGGGACCGCGTCCAATCCACAGCGGGATAAAACGCCAGCGAACCCGCAAGTTTAATATCGGACTTTGTGTCCAAGCGACCACGAGCTTCAAGTTCTTCGTGCAGACGAAACGGGACTGTGAAGCAGAGGTTCCCACCCGCACTATTGCCACATAGTACAAACCGGGCGCGGTCGAGGTTATAGTTGTCGGCATGGTCCCATAACCATAGTACAGCATCGACGCCGTCTTCGATTGGAATGGGAAATGGGTGTTCGGGTGCAAGTCTGTAGTTTACGCTGACAAAGATACAGTCTGGGTGGGCGGTCGTTACGGCGTGAGCCCAGCGTGCGTCGTCGATGGCATGGCCAATCGAGAAGCCGCCTCCATGGAAGTTTATTAGGACGGGTCGGCGGGGTGCGTCGATGTCGTGGGTTGAGGAAAATGTTGAAGTTGGGGGTTGATTTTGGGCTGTGAAGAAGTAGAGTTTTATGGAGCCGATTGGTTTGCTGATTTTTGTCGGAATAGTTATCTCCAGGCTCGGGTTTGGGGGAAGAGGCCATGAGAGGTAGCGGTCTACCCAGGAGATGACGGTTTGCCAGAAGCGGAGCTTTTTGGCTTGTTTTGTGAGGTCAGTGCGGGATGCTGGCATTCTAATAAACTGCTTTCTCTTGGCTTGAAGTGAGTGTTTCTAAGTGTGTTTGGGGCTTTAAGTATACATAAATGGGACTTGGGTTGGGAGAAATGACGTAGAATAGGTGTAAGGTTGGCAAGTTTCCATTGAATTATATCTTTGGATTTGTGCGTGGCGTTATCTTCTAGTCTGTAGTACTTTGCCGTGCGACAGATTTATCATGGAGAGACAACTGATTTATCAACATGAGCTTTGTACGTATTGCTGATCTCGATGATCTTCGCCAATGATCTACAGCCGGCGGAAGGACCACCAATCAATGTGGGGCAAATCACTCCACGCCATTGATCATATTGAAATGGAAATGCCAATTCATGCTTGATGGAATATTTGACGCCGAGACTAGCTTTCTGGTGCTATAAGATCCTATTTGGACTAAAAATTCTAGATGTTGTCACGTAGCAGAAAGCCTCCGTGCTGTAGCTTCTGCAAAAGCCCCTCGGGGTCGTATTTGGCTGCAACCTCCTGCATTCGCTCGACATTATCGGCCCCATAGCTACGGAGTACCTTCTGATGAGCATTGGCAAAGCTCATACACTTGAAGTCAAGTAGAAGATTCTTTCCGCTGGCCAGCGACTCGACGCTTTCGGCCATCGTGGCGACTGCTTTTTGCGCTGCAGCATCATCGCTACCCTCTTGGGGCCACTCGCAGGTAAAAACCCACCCTATGAGTTTTTCATCATGTCAGCTCTCTCATTTATTGGAGCTCCTACCGGACTGGAGCTGATGGGTCTCATTATGATTGGAACGATGAACATACAGCACTGCGGGATACTCTCATGGCCCATGATATTGTCGCCACGATCCTTCCCTGCCCGCACACCAGCCTTACCAAATGGCTGAATTGTATAATGCAAGACTGCGTCAGCCGGAAGGGACTTACAGGTTTCGGTCCAGAGCTTGTAGACGTCCTCGTAGAGTTCCTGTGACACCTTGGTCGTCATCGTGCAAATAGCCCGCCTATGAGGTATATTAGTACAGATCTTCAACTTTGGTTCCATCAATCTTACTTCTTAGCCTCCTGTTTATGGCCCATTGCTTGGGCCAATGACAAGAGAGTGCCATTTGTGGAAGGTAGGACTGTTGTCATCGAGCTTTTGAGGTTATAAAAAGGCTCGAAAGTCGTAGGTCGCTCGGTGGGGATGTCGCCATAGAGCAAGCCCACAGCGACGAAGCCGTTGTTGAAGTTGGTGAATAGCCCGATCTTAGGATAATCTTCCATGGCATTCTGAACCGCGACTGTAGCTTTGTTGATTTCGACATGATCCTCGGGGTTGTAAAGATTGATTGTGTATTGCACGTTGATCAGAGGGTGAGTTTCGAGGTCAAATCTTGTTACAATTCCTGGACAGGCATTAGAGGAGGCCAACTCTGTGCTATACAGCAGATATTGAAACGATCACGGAACCTGATTACTCACCAAAATTGGAGCCACCGCCCTTTAGAGCGCGGTAGAGATCAACGTTTTCTTTTTCGTTCGCATTGACCAATCTACCATCAGCCAAAAGGACCTAAAGAAGTCAGCCGTGAGTATAGGCAAAGAGAGCTAGTCTTCGAAAGGGGGCGACTCGCCTCAAAATTCCGGACACCGTCGGCACCCAGTCCATACAGATTGGGCAAAGCCCCCATGCCACCTTCGGCGACTGGTTAGCTTCCAAGCTCCAGTCACACTCGTTATTTAGGACCATATACCTCCTAGAAGAAATCCTCCTAGCCCAACCTGCTGATCTCGACCACCAATTGCCGATAACTTCTGCTCCTCCAACCAGGCATACACCTCCCCCCAGGTGTTTCCAGACCCCACTCGAGCGACTCCGTCTGAACCCAGTTTCTTGGTCTGAAACTGACGGATATCTAAAACAACAGCCATCTCATCGGCGCTGCTGAAGCCTATATTGGGATTATGGCCAGTAGTACGGATGGTAAATTTGGTTCCCGTCTTTTTGACAATCTCCAGTGCTTCATTTAGCTCTTGAGCATTGCTCAAGTATACATACCCCGCAGCCGGGGTCCAGCACGTCTGCGACCAGGGGACTGCCACTGCTGTCTGGTACTCCGATTCAACATCGGGAGTTACCACCTTGGAACTGAAGACCGTCTTCAATTGATCAATTACCGCTGTTGTGCTGGAGGCCATGTTTGTAGTTGTTTGGATATAAGTTCAGATATAGAGAGTAAATTGCGTAGCATGATGAACTGTCAAATAGTGCGGGTTGTCCGCTTTATGTTTGGGCTCAGCATTGGTCGAGACTCATGCGTTGGAGCGGAGTCTCTCTTCCTTTGTTGCTACCAAAAGTCCTAAGATCCCTGTCCACTCAATGCCCTAAGAGTTGGTAATCAAGCCGTCCGCATCACGGTAGCTAGCCCCTTTGAATCATAATACACACATGGTGAGCCACTTTACTCTGGAGCAGGTAAAACTTTGCTATGGACAATCATGACGAGGCTCGACATGGGACACGATGACTTGAAAGCCCCTCTGAGCCCGAAGGATCAATACCCCTGCGGCAGTTAACGCCGTACAGGCCGCCTCTACGTAGTCAGCCCCACGGACCCCACTAAACGCATGCACTTTGGGGAGCAAGAAGTGTGAGGGGTCGTAGACTCGAATTCTAAGCTGCAGTAGCTAGAAATGGGGGCCAAGTATGCACCAATTAGCGCGCAATCAAGTGCAACGTAACTGCATGGAAATAGCCCCCATACTCCAAGTTTGATATAGTATCCACTGATCGCGTCGAACTGATGTCAATCATTTCTCATTCTATTAACCTCGAAAGGTAGCATACAATTTTGGGTGATGTCATGGTACCAGAAGGCACATTGAAATGCCAATTTTGTCGGCGCTAGTCTTAGACGCGTAGTATCCAGGCTAACCAAAATCAAAAGTTAGGGCAGGGGGCTTATACTCGAAAATCGCGCCTTCCTGAATTGAATCATTGACATAAGGAACGTGCTGTGCAAACCAATGCAACACTTGATGTGTGGACCGTGGCCAGGCGCCCAGGCGTGTACATATGCTATACGAAATGAAACTTTGTGCACTTGTATGGTAGTCAGCCCACTCAAACCTGGAAGTAATTCCCTCAGCTAGATTAGTTTACGAACAAGCAGACATGACTGTATGCAGGTATCACTGCTAGATTTTTAGAACTAGAGTACGGCATACAGTATCATCTATTAAGTTGGTCTATTAGTGGTACATGAGCATTGTGACTGTCTACAGGGACGTTCCATGCTCCTGTGGCACCACCGTACCCGCGGGCTGCCTGGCGTGGGCTATCCCCTCGGGGCGAGGCCCTCGACCGGCCCCGCACATGGAAAAATGATAGAATGGCAAATGTATCCATGAAACGCTAAAATCATCCGAATGTATTCGTTAGAGCTAAGCAGTAGACAGCTGAAATAAACCTTGCTTAGCGCTTATCTCACCAAGCTCCCTCTCTTGATATATAAAAAGAGCACAAACCCATGACTGCAAGACCAAAAGCCACGTCCAACTATCCACTTTTGTGTTAAATCCCTCTCAACAATCCAACATGTCCAATCTCTCCGATCCCTTGCCCGTCATCCTATGCGGCCAATCAACCAAAATCGGAAAGCCCGTAGCAGAAGCCATGCTACCCGAAATCGAAGGTAAGATTCAGCCTCAATTCGTCCAATTACAAGCACAGATTGCCTTTGAATCATATTCAGCTAAGCTCAACCAGTGATCCACTTTATCCAAACCAATGAAGCGGCTCTGGCGGAGATTCCCCACCTGCTCGCTGGGCGGGACCCCCAGTCCCCCCACGATAACGGGGTCGGCTCGGGGAACTACAGCCAGCCGGCTCGTGCGGTCATCCTTGGCCATGGATATTCTGTAACCGATGTTGAGGCTTTCCGGGCTGCGTGTGAAGGTGTTAATCAGGAACCTGTTGTTTGGGTTCTTAGTGATCCGGCGAAGCAGCGTGCTCCAGATGCGTCGCCGCCTGGGGAAGGATATGCTAAGGTTGCTGCGCAGCTTGCGAAGGATATCATTGTGAAGTGGAAGGAGGATGGAGCTGATAAGGATGAGGTTATTTTCTTTTAAGCTTTAGGCTTTGGTGTCATTATGATTGCTGGAGCTCGTTTCCAGTGGTTCGGAGACCTCAGGATTTTAACGCCCAGTGGGCCCGCCCGGCATTATATATATCGAGGCTTTCCAGAGTTTCACAGCACGTTTCAGACATCCACACAGCCAAATCTAATCTAAATCTACATGAATCATTGTGTTAGCTGAAGCGATCTCAAGTCTTTGGAATTGACTCCATTGATATCACATAGTGACCGAGAAAGATTGAAACCTGGAATAGCTCCTTGAGGACTCAACCTTCTCTATCCATGCCCAGGCATACTAGTGGTATTTCAATTTGTTCACATGTGCGTTACATTGACGACCTTGATCCCGGGAGAAGCTTCCTTATTAGCATTGTACAGGGCGATGCTCCCGGGCTTCAGGTTGTAGGTGATATGATAAGCCCCGGGTTATGGAAATTAGAGATGACCTCAATACCACCAAGACAAGCTATGGCTAAGCTTCCGAGCGAATTATGAGAACATTTCGCGCTTCTGGTGATCCCTTTGAAAATCCAATACGGCCACGAGAAAGATATGTATACTGTATTAGTCGAGAAGTGATGTCGTGCCCACAGTGCTTGGGAGATAGCTCAATCTTTTATACAAGATCCCTGTACTATATCTGAAACCCAGAGCTCTGCGCCATTTACAAGTCTTACTGCAGCTACCCGACATTTCCCTAAATTCTTAGGCATGCATACCACGGATAACTACGGCCTGAGTAGATTGCCGACAAACAAATAGAAGTCTACGTTTGTGTCAATATCGGACAAAGGCCCAAGCGACCAGGAGGCGACATGATGCAAGTCGCCAGGTGGAGGAACCCCTTCCACGCTATACCCCGCATCCGCCTGAGCCACGCGACCGATTTCCCCAGACAGCCAAGAACTGCCAAGAGAACATTTCAGCCCAACACCGGTACACGGACAATGTGGACATTTGCCCCCTAAGCCAGCATCAGCTTGCATTCGGGTCATTGATGAGCGAAGTGTCATCAGGCAGTCGGTAAGAGGTCCGTTCAAGAATGCCGACCAGTCGCAAAAAAGGAGGCATGACGTGCAGGATCGGGTCGGGGAAAATAGGAGCCAAGTGATCTACGTGTGTGCCTTATTTCCCGCACCAGGCCGTTTTAAAAACCGGACTGATATAGTCGGACAGGAGGATCTGATAGGTTGAGTAGGAATGACCAAGTAGATATCCGGGTGAAATAGGAGGGTAAACGTGGACGTGATTGGCGACTTTGTTGATAATCGTTAAGCCGGAAAGATGATAAGGGGGGAGGAAGGTTCCGGGGCGAACCCGGGGAGACCGGGGCTGAATTGAAGACCGGGGCTGGTTTCGGGATTTCCAGATGGTTTAATTCTTTTTCCTGGAGAGAAGGATACCCTTTTCCCCACTTGAAACGAAAACTAAAACGAATGGAGACAAGTTATTATTAAACGTGTAAAAGCCTCGTTCCAGACTCGGGATCAATTGCTCTATGTTGTAGGCGATGTCACGCGCAGTGAAAATTTGGAAAAAATAGTTAAAATTGACGAAAAAACTAAACAGATCACCTGAGAGTCTAGAAATATCCCTAGTACACATTCCTAGAGACAAGAATAGCTTTTCGGCGATTCGATACGTAATAAACAAAATCGCGCAAGGGCATGTTGTCTCATCCCGAGAACAACAATCCGGTTCGGCATCCGCCGCTAACCACCGGGAGGATCTGGGGTTGGGTTCGAAAAAGAACGATTGGGCCTTACGAGCCGAAACCACGGCAAAGAGCTCGAGTGAAATGACGACCGAATCGAAAAAGAGAAAAAATTCAATGCCTTGAGACCCATTTTCGGGAGCCTAATGATGTTCACGGGATGTTCCATGCCTCAATTCGTGAGCTGGGCCGAGACCGAGAATTCCCACGTAACATGCATGAGGGATCCTCCATGAGGGCCTCGATCTCATTGCACCGTTAACACCGCACATTATCGCCCAGCGAGACAAAATGGCAGAAAAGCGTAGGACCCAGCGGCAATATCTTCTGCCCACCCGACTATCCCTGGAAAATGGAAATGTACGCCCTCTGATTGGTCGAAGCCGCCGCGGTCAATGTCGTCGATACATCATCCTCGGCTGGTTAAACGCCGTTATTGGAGAACGCTTCGGAGGATCCTAAAACCACATTACGTTCCGACCTGGCACCGTGTCTTTGTCGTCATCGGGTTCACGAGCTCCTGTAATTTTCGCATTCCATTTTTATCTCTCACGATGCACAATCCGAAGTAAAATCGGCGAGGCAAGCCGAAAAGTATCACATTCAAGAGAATTGTAGCCGATCGAGACTCCGGGATCGACCATTATGTCAGCTCCCCCGCGAATTGCTGGTTTGGAACTAGTTTCATGGTAACTTTGGCTTCAAACTTGGTGAGATCATTGCGCGTCATTCCTCTCGTCCGTAGCTGGATTTGACGCCGTTTTGCTACAAACTTTACTTTCACAAGCAGGATGAATGCGGCTTTGTGAGAGAACCTAGGTAAATGATTGACAATAGTAGTTATAAATTCATACCAACCGCTTTTCCTTTCTGCTCTTCTGCATCCACAGTATTACCCCGAAAAAGACCTAGATCTAAGCAGTTCTCCACAACTGCGGCTTTTTTTTTCTCTGCAATACCAAGATCCACTTGATCATTTCCCCCTCCTTACTTTTCCGGTTCATCATCCGTTCCCCGGGTGCATTTCGTGTCCACTTAAAACCTTTCGGGACAATTCGGACTGCGCCTCACCAGGTATTTGCAGTCGGCAACACTTCATCCATCGTCAACCGTCCGTCTCAGCTCGGCCCTCCGCCCCGACATCACCCGTGGAACTGTGGAGAAGCACAGGGGCAAAGGACGAGAACGCAGCTACATATCGTCACGGCAATGACCCCTCCTGAGAGAAATTATATAGTCCCCGGCCGCCCCAGCTCTCCAGGTCTCTTGAACTCGGATTTCTTCCAACAACAAGTCGCAAAGCAACGCAACAACAATTATCATTCTACTTCACTCAAAAACATGGTTGCTACTTCTGTAAATCGCACTGCCCTCCACCCTGGCGGTGTCCAGTACGTCTTCCCTTTTCACCTTATGGTCCTATATCACCGTCGCTAACCGTCTTACTTTACATAGGCCTAGCAAGGGTCACACCGAGCTGGAGGAGGAGCTGCACGAGACTGCCCACATTGACTACGACCGTGTTGCCATTGTAAGCACATCCTTGACTTCATCTACCACTATGACAATACTAACAACTCATAGATTGCCAACCCTGCTGTCCCTGCTTTGTACGAAGATGCCCTTGTCTACGAGACCGGTACCGCCATCACTTCCAGCGGTGCCTTGAGCGCCTACTCCGGTGCTAAGACTGGCCGTTCTCCCTCCGACAAGCGTATTGTCCAGGAGGAGTCCTCCGAGAATGAGATCTGGTGGGGACCCGTCAACAAGCCCATGACCCCTGATGTAAGTTTGAGGCTTTTTTTATCCTTCGCTATGAGTGATTTTTGGGTGCTTGTTACATATTTGCCGGGACTATGTGGTCGAGGACTGCCCTTGCAGGTGGCCCGCGGGCTCCACCCCAGGATCCCTTGCATATGCAGTCCAGGGTCAAGCTTTTCTGGCATTGAGGCCTGCGACCCTGTCCACTTTCGTGTTCCCTGTGCTCTCTTTTCATTTTTGGGATTTTTCCTGAGACTATCTGATTCCTTCCATTCGCCCTCGGCTCTTTCTTTTGCCCCGCTTTGCCGAGGCCCTCATGTCAATGACGTCATACTAATATCTCACCAATAGGTCTGGCGTATCAACCGTGAGCGTGCTGTCGACTACCTGAACACTCGCAACCGCATTTATGTTATCGATGGTTTCGCCGGCTGGGACGAGCGTTACCGCATCAGCGTCCGTGTTGTCTGTGCTCGTGCCTACCATGCTCTGTTCATGCGCAACATGCTTATCCGCCCCTCCGCTGAGGAGCTCAAGCACTTCCACCCCGACTATGTTATCTACAACGCTGGCTCTTTCCCCGCCAACCGCTTCACTGAGGGTATGACCTCCGCTACCTCCGTTGCCATCAACTTTGCCGATAAGGAGATGGTTATCCTGGGTACCGAGTACGCTGGTGAGATGAAGAAGGGTGTCTTCACTGTCCTCTTCTACGAGATGCCCGTTAAGCACAACGTCCTGACCCTCCACTCTTCCGCCAACGAGGGTGAGAACGGCGATGTTACCGTCTTCTTCGGTCTGTCCGGTACCGGAAAGACCACCCTGTCTGCCGACCCCAAGCGTAAGCTGATCGGTGATGACGAGCACTGCTGGACCGACACTGGTGTCTTCAACATTGAGGGTGGTTGCTACGCCAAGTGCATTGGTCTTTCCGGTGAGAAGGAGCCCGATATTTTCAACGCTATCAAGTTCGGTTCCGTCCTCGAGAACGTTGTCTTCGACCCCATCAGCCGTGTTGTCGACTACGACGATGTCACCCTCACCGAGAACACTCGTTGCGCCTACCCCATCGAGTACATCGAGAACGCCAAGATCCCCTGCAAGAGCGAGAACCACCCCTCCAACATCATCCTGCTCACCTGTGACGCCCGCGGTGTTCTGCCCCCCATCTCCAAGCTCACCCCCGAGCAGGCCATGTTCCACTTCATCTCCGGTTACACCTCCAAGATGGCCGGTACCGAGGACGGTATCACCGAGCCCCAGGCTACCTTCTCCTCTTGCTTCGCCCAGCCCTTCCTGGCCCTGCACCCCATGCGCTACGCCCACATGCTCGCCGAGAAGATCAAGCAGCACAAGGCCGATGTCTGGCTCCTCAACACCGGCTGGGTCGGTGCTGGTGCCACCACTGGCGGCAAGCGTTGCCCTCTCAAGTACACCCGTGCCATCCTCGACTCCATCCACAGCGGTCACCTCGCCACTGTCGAGTACGAGACCTACGATGTCTTCAACCTGCCCGTCCCCAAGTCTTGCCCCGGTGTCCCCGACGAGCTGCTCAACCCCAAGACCTCCTGGACCGCCTCCACTCCCTTCGTGGACGAGGTCACCAAGCTGGCCAACCTGTTCAACGAGAACTTCAAGAAGTACTCCGACCAGGCCACCCCCGAGGTCATGGCTGCCGCTCCCCGCGTTTAAAACCCGAGACGGGTCTCAAAATTGGCATTTTGGTTTTGATATTTCAGACTTTTTTAAGTCATTTTGCATGGCGTGCTGCGTTGGCTTGATCTATTCCCCTGGATCTCGGCCTCATCACTTGAATCGGCCCAAGTGAGAGGTATTTTCCTTTCTTGATTTCCTTTTTCAGATATCTCTTTATTTCCTTATGTATTCTGTCTTATTGATGGACATGTTCGATGACCGGCTCAATCGGAGTTCCATCTCGATAACCCTTAACGATAGCCAATGAATCAGATATTTCAAACAACCTCGATCTCTGTAGATGTGACTTGACATAAGATGTATCCTAATACCATGCTTACAAGTATACAACTTCCATCGACTATTCATTAATTAAACTAATACGAGACCAAGGCTTTACTTTTGTAGTTCGCACCACAGCAAATGGAAAACCTCCACGCAGAGCAGAGGACTTGTTCAGCTAACCTTCTTGGAGATTTCAGTGCATCTTGTCAAAGGAGCATTATAGGGTCGGATAGCTTTTTGGGTTCGAACTGTGCCACAATTAAAGAAACATGAAAAAACTCCACAAGTCTTCAATTAGGTAGGTTCATAATCCAGTCTTGAAAGTTGAATGGTGTACTTGCTGCTATGGGATTGGTTTAGCTGTGGGGATAACGAACCAGAATGGAAAGCTGAAATGTGATAATTGTCCACGATCTATGAGAGAGATGAAATGGTTGAACTCTTACTATTTCCACGATCAATAGTTATTTTTTGGCTCCTTCCTCTATCTGCTGTATGCGGCCAAGCTGCCGCTAAACTAACAATCGAAGCACACCTTGTCGACGATCTCAAAGCTCAGTTGCTCATCGGCATCGATGTCATGGGCCCCGAGCAGATCTCCTCAGATTTTAAACATCGTCGTGCGATTATAGGATCTTGCGACGATATCGCTGTCCCCGTTGGTATCTGCGCCAAGCCAGACCACGTCAAGAACCGACCGGTCTATGCATCGAGGACCATAATCCGGCCTAAGCAATCTGGCAGGGTACCCATCAAGGTCAAGACCACCTTGCCGCGCGATCGCGATCTGATTCCTGATCCCCAACTACCCAACGCTGCCAAGCTACAAGCTTTAGCTCAATTAGTTGACTTCAGCATCACACACGTTGATGTTTTCATTGCCTCTACCGACCCAGTCGTCATTGACGACACAATTGAAATTGGGACATTCAGATTGGGACAAGACGAGTGTTGGGATATGAGAAAGGAAGAAGACCGAGCTACGATAGACATGAGGATATGGCGTGGAATGAATTATACACCTTAACCTTATCATTTTCATAAGAAGTTCCATGCTAGACTGTGGTCTACCAACTAAGGCCGTAAACTGCTGCTGAGTGCCTTGATAAGGCATGTTATGAGATCGTGAGACATCTAATAGCTTTTGACGGCCGACAGGATTTCGGTTTTGGAGTATAGGCTACTCGGTATAATTTGGTGCATTTCTTTGCCAAGCTACTCTGTGTATTGTGTTAAACTGTCCTTGTGTTAAGCTACTCTGTTGAGTGACCTGTGTTGACCGTCTGGCAGGAATTGTTTAAGAACGAAGCTGTTAAGTTGAATCTAAACGGAATCATATCCTTCGAAGCCGTCAAAGGCCACCGGGTGTCTGACGTGAACATTCCTAATTAAGGAATAAACCTCAATAAGGAATGTCCACGTCAGACTATAGTCTTTGCCCTAAGGCTGTCTATACGTTTCTGTGTCCCTCTGAAGCTGCCCGACTAAGCTATTCTACTTAAATTGTCTATTTTCGAACGCAGTAATCGACGCTGGTTATAGCCATTAACGCCGGACGTGGTGACTGATACTGGCATGGACGCTGGATGTAGCTACTCAGGCTGGATGTGGTAAGTGATGCTGGCACGTAAAACGTAACTAACACTGGATATGGTACGCGATGCTGGACGTAGCAAGTGACGCTGGTGTAACGCCAGATGAAGCTACGATATTTGGCTGTTCTGACTGACGCTGAACGTAGTGAGTGACCTCGGATATAGCTACTAAAGCTGGACATAGTGAGTGGTGCTGGATATGGTGACTGGCGCTAGACGCGGTGACTAGCGCTGGACATGAATTGGTACTGGATATGACCAACGCGGAAATGTATACCGGTGTAGGAGCAGGGCGTACTGTACCATATGAGAGGGGAATATTGATGGGTATATGAGAAATCCAGGCAATTCAGCTATATAAGATGTAGGGTGGAATCATTTGAACACCTAAATCATAACCTTAATAAGTCCACCTTTGGCTGCGATCGCCTTTGACGGCCGTCAGAATTTCGGTCGTGGAGTATGGGCTATTCGGTATAGTTTGCCCGGCGTACTGCGTCAAGCTACGCTGTGTATTATGTCAAAATGCCCTTGTAATAAGCTGCCATGCATATTGTGCCAAGCTGCTCTTTCAAGCGACCTTTGAAGACCGTCTGTCAAGACCTGTTCACACTCAAAACTGCTAATCCCATTCTGACCGGAAATATAAACTTCAAAGCCGTCAGATGCTAATAGGTGTCTACGTGGTCATTCCTAATTAAGGAACGAACCTTAATAAGGAATGCCCACGTAGACATCTGGCAGCTTTTGACGGCTTTGAAGGTTACAATTCCAGTCAAAATAGACCGAATAGCCTTCGAAAGTAGGACAATTCTGCTAGATGGCTTGACATGGGTATTTAGCATTAATCATCTGATACAGACGGCTCGATATCCTTTGACCGTAGGCGTTAGATACTAGACAGCCACTGGTGGGCAGAACTCTGCTCAAAATGGGCTCGACGACCTTCAGAGTAGACTGTTCATGTCCGTCTGAACCTGTTCATGTCAAATTGGGCCCACTATCGTCAATGGACTCGTTCGCGTCAAAACGCCCGACGACTGTAAAGGCTAGCTGTGTTCAGAATTCTCTACTTCCTCGCTGTCTGTGTCAGGACTAGCTAGCTAAGTAGACTATAGCCTGACGGCTTTAAAGGAATTCCGGTCAAAGCGTGCTGGGCAGCTCCGAGTGTAAACAGTTCCTATCATACGGGTTGACACACGTAGCTTAACAGAGCAGCTTGACATAATATGCAGAGCACACTGACGCAGTACGCCGGGCAGATAGATGGGCTAGACCTGTTTGTCGTAAATACAAGAAACATGAACTGCCTTAGAGTAAAGACTACAGTCTGACGCCGACATTCCTAATTAAGGAATAAACTTAATTAGGAATGTCGGCGTCAGACTATAGCCTTTGCCCTAAGGCTGTCTATGTGTGTGTCTATGTGTGTGTGCCAAGTGGGACATATATATCAATCTACTCTCCGTACGGCGTTAAGCTACTCGGTGTCTTGTGTCAATCTACTCGGCGTACTACGTCAGGCTGCTCTGTCAAGCTGCCCTGTTCCAAATCGTCTGGCAGGAACTATTTACACTCGAAGCTACCCAGCACGTTCTGACCGGAAATCTCTTAAAGCCGTCAACCGCTGTCGGGTGTCTGATGTGGACATCCCATATTGAGGAACAAACCTCAATAAGGAATGTCCACATCAGATTATAATTTTTCCTTAGGGCTATCTATATGTCTATGGGTCTGTGTTGAGTTGCTCGGCCAAGCTACTCAGTCACCTCTACATCAAAACATCGAATGCTGGACGTAGTAACCGACGCTAGTCGTAGCCATTAACGCTAGAAGTGGTAAATGATGCTGTCACAAAAAACGTAACCAACGCTAGATGTAGTGACCGACGCCGGATATGGTGAGTGACGCCGGCGCATAAAACGTAACTGACGCAGGATGCGGTGACTGATGCTAGACGTAGTAGGTGACGCTAGATATGGTGACTGACGCTGGACGTGGCGACTGATATGGGCATACAAAATGTAGCTGGCGCTGGATATGGTGACCAACGTCGGACGTGGTGACTGACGCTGGAGTATGCCTGACGCATTAAGGTAAACCTTAATGCATCAGGCATACTCCAGCAGACATAGCTCACCAAAGTGCTTATAAATCATCAGCCAGCCTATCAATTGAATATAGACTACTGTGGCCCTTAGACAGTCTTGGGGCAATGATGTCTAATGTTATTGTAGGTTTGCGAGGATCTGGTTTGTATTCGATACCATGGATTTGTGAAAAATTTATCAATTGTCAATTTACATAATCACATTGTAAAACCCGATGAGTGCATCGTTATTTGGACTTCATTCACTGAAAAGGATAAAGGACTCTGTGAAATGATCAGTATTATCTTTCAATGTATTCAAGGTACACAATCTATTAGAAAGAAGATCAACCCATCGCAATGTCCAAGTTTTTGCCTACAGGACCGTTTACAATAGAAGTATTTTTTGCCAGGCCTAGATCGTGACTTAAAGCCAATTTGTAGATTCAATAACCTGGGAAAGTACCCCACATCAAAACAAACTACCATTCCCATTGCCGAACCACCCCACCGATCCCGAAACCACATCCCGCCGCAACCCACCCACTTTGCCGTCGGAATTCACTCGATTCCCGAATATCCTTGCCAGGGACTTACCGAGTCCCGCACTTCTAGCCCTGGATATGCCGAACGTATTTTCCGCGGGGTGTAAGCTCGGCTTTGTTTAGGTTGGCGGGGCGGTGCTAGTGGGTTATTGTTGGGGCGGGTTCATTCCGCTTTCCCTTTATTGATTGACTTTTCCTTGTTTGGAATCTGGTTCTGACAGGTGATGAAATTGAGGGTCTGTATTGGATCTTGTGGTGGGTTTGTATCTGTTGGGGAAATGGTTTTGCTTGGCGGTGGGGCGGATGAGATGTTCTGGATCTGAGATCTAGTTATAGAAATGATGACACTATTGAGTGTTTGTTATAGTGGTGTATTATTTGTTGGGACAGTAAGCGCTTGCAAAACTGGGAAACGGGCCTTGAGTTAATTCTGTATCTCGTGTTCGACTGCTAGCTCCTTTCATACTAGTCCACACGGGAATTCCAACGGCAAGTTATCTAGAACTAGACTGTCAGTTTTGAAACAAGGAGTTCGGAGATGGCCGTGTTAATATTGATGTAGCCATGTTATCGAGGTGACCGCTCCACGGAGAAGAGTATCTGGTGTACGTAGTAAATCAAGGTCCAGGCGGAATAATCACTACCTTGTGAGTGTGGCCTTAACTCTCCATCGCTTATGCGGTGGATCCCTCTTTCTGATGACCAGGTCTGGCGACTTTCTGACGAGCTATAGCCGACTTTATTCCGCGTGGCGATCTCGCAGCCGGCAATGATAGCCAGGGCGTCAAATAATTGATCCCACAAGCTTCAATGGCCAGACCAACAAGGCGGACTGCTGTCCTCCGCGCGCTGAATCCCGCTCCACGAGCCGTCACGATGGTCGAGAATATAGCTCCGATAATCGATGTCTGGGGTTAGAACCGGGGCTCCAAAGCTGCCAAGGGCCAATGACTCGATCAGAAAGAGGCATTCGTGCAGTAAAGTGCCGGTCCTCGGAGGAATAGATTAGAGATCGGAGGCTTCCAGGGCGGGACTAAGTCTTTTGCCTCAACAAAGCCCATTCGCGTCAAGGGAGGATCTCATTGGCATTGGCGGAGGTGTTATTGGCCGAGCCAGTCAGGGGCAGCGACGGGGCTAGAATGCAATGGCTTGGGATCCACCCTCTGTATAGTTGATATCCAACCCCTCGGTACGGATAGCGGAGGCGGGAGAATATTACTGAGGAATAGCCGATCTGGCTCTGGAGATCCGTCCCACCGAAAATATCATAACCGATTGAATCACTAGCAAGATAATGACGAGTTTGACAGGTGTATTTCTCAGACTTTAGCCGTAATTTTTCGATTGCCGCGTATATTGTGTAGTAATAGTTTCCCTCGGATAGAGCAACACGGGTTCCCGACCGGTTCTCGTGGAGCAAGCTTGGTCGAAGTGGGGTTCCGATTTTAGCCCGTAAGACTAATGCGGTCTGGGGTTCATGACGTGGAGAAAATCATATGCCGTTGATCAGGATAAAGATTTTTGAACATAGATGTAAGGGGGATAAAGATTCATATTTCGTGTAAGTCAATGGTGGTAACACTTGTCTTGTCGCTTGATTTCCCCCGCTTTTGACCGGATTCACACATGACAAGCTTTAGTCCCCGCATTTAACAACTGTTACTGCACCCGTTGAGATCGACGTAATTGGTCCACTAGAGGTCATCTTCATCACCCCACAAGTCCGGAGAACTCACGGCCAACAATCGGTCAATTCGGTTGACACGGTTGTTCGCGGGGTGGATCACTGTCCCACTATGAATATAGACCCGACGTAAAGTTATAGAAGCTCAGACCCCCTGGTTCCGACTTTTATCGAGTCTCGTATATAAATGGTACTTCCCAAGGTTTAAAACATTCCCCGCACTCTGTGTTTCCTCGACTCCTCTCTTCTCAGCTTCTCCTATTCCCCAGTATTATCTATTCCTGAGGTTGCATTTCTATTATCAAGCTCGACGTCATCGGTGAGTTCCATGTTTCCATGGGCCGCATGAAACTTCCGCCGTGGCTTCTGAATCTGCCAAAGAGAACAACTACTAAACTTCACAGTACAAAGACAACTCACAGTCGTCGCAACTTCGCTTGAATTTCCTCAAACTTCCTGGTCAGTACATGGTAATCCAACCCGATGCACAAGCCAAATCAATACGAATACCAGAAGCATCAACTAACCACTTCCCCACAGCATATTTGGGCTGAATCCTGCATGATCATAATGGCGTCCAACTCCATCAAAGAATCCCCCAGCAATGTGCCCGTGGCTCCACCACCAGCTACAACCATCCTACAAAACCCCTACATCCGCCCCGCCCTCCCGTTTATCAACGGTGGCCTCTCCGGTATGACCGCGACAGCAGTAATTCAACCAGTGGACATGGTAAAAGTCCGCCTCCAACTCGCCGGCGAAGGTGCAAAGACAGGCCCCCGCCCCTCCGCCTTTGGAATCACCCGCGATATCATCGCCGCCGGTAAATTCCAAGATCTATACACCGGCCTCTCAGCCGGTCTCCTCCGCCAAGCAGTCTACACAACCGCCCGCCTAGGCCTCTTTGACACATTCATCAAATCCCTCAACGCAAACGCGGAATCAGCAAACCGTAAAGTCACTTTCGCCGAGCGCGCGGCCGCAGGCCTTACAGCCGGTGGTGTCGCCGCCATGATTGGAAACCCAGCTGACCTGGCGCTTGTCCGGATGCAATCCGATGGGTTGAAGCCCGCCGCCGCACGTGCCAATTACCGTTCTGTCTTCGATGCGCTGGCTCGCATCCCCAAGGCTGAGGGTATCGGTGCGCTGTGGGCTGGTGCTCTCCCCACGGTGATCCGCGCAATGGCGCTCAACATGGGCCAGTTGACTTTCTTCGCTGAGTCCAAGACACAGCTGAAGCAGCACACGAACCTGTCAGCTCAGAATCAGACTTTCGCTGCAAGTGCGATCGCGGGTTTCTTTGCTAGTTTCCTTTCTTTGCCGTTTGATTTTATCAAGACGCGTTTGCAGAAGCAGACTAAGGATCCGAAGACGGGGCAGATGCCTTATCGGGGTGTTCTTGATTGCGCAAGGAAGGTTGTTGCTGAGGAGGGTTGGATGCGGTTTTACCGTGGCTTTGGTACTTATTACGTGCGGATCGCTCCTCATGCGTTAGTTGCCCCCACTTTCTAGTAGATTGGACCCACAAGCTAACGATCTGCAGTATGGTGACCCTCATCGTGGCCGATTACCTCAACCTTATTACCAAATAGATCGCGGTCGCAGTTTTGAACTACATTTTATTCGGTTTTGATGAGATGGCGATCGGAATTATTTCTTAACGACCTGGTCACACGCGCGACGTTATTTTTTTCTTGTTTCCTTGTCTGAATCAAAAGGAAAGTCTGCAACACGCATTCGAATATTCTTATATTTAGCCCCTGAGTCGACTTGCGAGGACCAGCGCCATCTGTCACCTGGAATATGTTACGCGAGACATATTTCGGACGTTTGCCGTGCACAATGGCATGGACTCAAGGTCTCCGCTTACGTGAACCCGGGGTGCGCTGTGTTATGTTGACTTGAGTCACGGGAAGCAATCCGATTTTCCCCGTTCAAGGGGCTAACGCTGTCAAGTTTCCCGCGGGAATGGAAGCCAAAGCCAACTGTTATCGTTGATGGGTTCCTGTCATTGCTGTTATATTTTCCCCTTGCTGCTATTTGTTTCTCACTGGTGCTGTTGTTCTATTTTCCTTTTGACAAGCGAATACCCCACACACTTGTCTCATGTATTTCGTTACCATTCCGTATTCATCCCGGTGATGTAGTGGGCAATGGATCATCTCTTTCAATCACTCTCCAGTAAGATTTTCTTAAACTGCCTTAGCTAGGCATAACTAGTGGTGTTATCTTGTGGACTTGAAGTTTCTCCTGCCTATTTTGGACATCCCTCAATGATAATTCAAGTAGGGTTTTTAGATGATCCCTTCACCCCTCGCCTCATGACCGGTCTACCCTGGCGCGGGCAAGCTCTCATCATTACACAAAAGAGGATACTTGAAGACTAGGATTGGATCTTATTTTGGAATGAGTCAAAAGGATTACTATAGGGGCTAGAAGGTGACGCAGTGGGGGACACTTGGCATTGTTGATGTACTACGTGAAGAAGGTCGAGCTCGTGTGATGAAAAAATAAGGCCATGTCTCATGAGTAAAAGAGATGTAGAAACTAGGTAACAGGTGAAAATTATCCTTAATACCCCAATTGATGCGACAAAGCTCAGGATGTTCCTGGCCTCAGGGTACTTTATCCCCTGGCGTGGTAAATCTCCGGTTGGAAAACGGCCGTAAATCGCCAATCCCCGTATCACCCTGTGTGCATGGCAACGCAAACAAAATAACAGTCGAGCCTGACTCAATTATGGAGAGCCTGCTTTTCAACCGCACCAGGCGCAAGGACGTCCTCGATGGTCTCGCCGGTACCTTCCAGATCCTCCTCGATCGGAACCGAGTCCTGAATCTTGAAGAGGATCACGGGCGCGGCAAACAGAAGCGAGCCCATGAGCAGACCCCAGTTGGAAGCGAACTCGTTCATGTAAGGGATACTGTGCTGTCCGTCCAAAGACCACATAACGGCAGCACCGGCAGATTGGAGGCCCTTGTAGAAACCGGCCAAGTTAGCGAGCTTTCGGCCGGAGTTTCCGAGAGCACCCATAATCCAGTACACGGTACCCTGCCAAATCGCGTCGTAGAATCCATAGAAGAAGTACAAGAACATCGGGCCCTCGAAGCCGGGGGTCGTCCAGTCCCAGGCCTTGAAGTCATCTGCGGCAACGGTCTCACGGGTGTAACCCTTCTGCCAGGCATAGCCACCTCCCCAGATAGCCATGGTCAGAACGAACAAAATACCGAGAGCGATGCGGGCACGGGTGCTGCGGCGAAGGAACGAGACATCAAGGAGCGGGCCGATAATGACGGCAGCCACGATCTGGGCAAACCAGTACAGGAAGTTGTTGAGGGCTTTGGTACGGGTGTTGAAGTAGGCGTTGTTGATGCTGTTCTGCTGATAGGTGTAAAACCAGTTGGATGACCAGAACATCGGGAAGAGCAGGATAATGTACGGTTGCGACCTGATAGTGTCCCACAGACCAACCAGCTCAGTCTTCCAGGTGGGAACCTTCATCAGAATCACGCGAGAACCATCGGGGCGGACGATCTTGTCCGCGTCGCAGATAAAGAGGGCCAGGACTGCACCAAAAGCCATGAGCACGATAAAGCCGATGTAGGTACCGTCAGTGACATTCTTCTTTTCGGTGACGTGGATATTCTGGCCCAGAGGGATCTGCGATGATATGACATGTTAGCTCTTAGACCTACATCACATAGGGAGAATTCTTACCAAAGCACCAATACACGCGCCAACGTTGAAGATACCCCAAAACCAAGCAAAGTAGCGACCCTTCTTGTGCTCAGGAGGATACGACATCATAATAGCACCCTGTGCGGCCCATAACAAACCCGCGCAAACACCCAGCAAAGCGCCCGCGAAAATGTTGAAACCACCAACACTAGCATGCTCTGAAACGAGCAGGCTGATAGCATAGATACAATAACCAATGCCACCAAAGGACAGGGCCAAGCGAACACCAATACGGTTAACGAAGGTTCCAGCGAAGAAGCCAATGACAGCAAAGGTACTGTAGAGAGCAGTGTTCTAGGCACAAAATAAAGTTGTCAGTGAGGAGCGGATCCACGTGGGGAAGAAACGTGAAAAGTAGAGGAATGTGGGGGGGGGGATCAGCTTACCATGTTATCGGCCAAAGTGTTGTCAGTCTTACCACCTCCACCGAGACCACCCAGCGCATTGAACATTCCAGGACACATGAAGCAGACAAAGGCAACCATGCCCAGCTGAAAGCCAGGCGAGGCATACCAAGTAGTAAATTTACCAATTCGTAACGGCTTGTACATCCATCCAGCGGGGCGCGAATGGGTCTCATCGAGAGAAGAGGTGTAAACCTCAGAGCGAACTTCCAGGCCCTCCTGAGCAGCCTTGGAGGTGACCTCCATATCAGCCATGATCTGAAAGAAGAAATTCACAGAAGATACGGAGTAGAAGAGTATGTGGGGAGAAGTTTAAAGTGAAGATGGTGTGGAGGTGGAGAAGGAAAGCTTATGAGAAGTAGTAGAGAGGAAGGAACGAAGTTCTAGTTAAAGAAAAACAAAACAACGATAAAGTTGACGATTCCGAAAAATAAGAACCCAAAAATACGACCACGAGTTAAGGTAACATCCCCAGATCATTTTAGCTTTCAGGGTTGGTTTGCGGGGATTTCCGATGTGATTGGTCCATGGTTGATACCTCTCCGCTTTGATAGAGTTACACCCCTAAGTTTTGATATCTAAGTCGCGTGATACGTACAGAAACTAAACGAAGTGGTATCGACGAGGGATCGTTGCAGTGGCTTGAATTACTAGCCGTGCCACATGGCCATACACTCCCTTGTGTACGGGTACGGGATTACCATGTGGAGAAGACTTAACTAGGTCCAACCAATAGGAGAAAAGGAATGGTTCAGCTGTAACTCTTCTCGGTCTAGCTTTATCGTCCCCAGACTAGAATACGAACAATCACGTTTGGATCGCAATTAAGATCCGAGGCTTGGGAATACTTAAACAACCCCGTGGACGTAGTATTTAGTATCTGCCAATACTTGAGATTGTGACACTATGGACGTTACCTAATAGCGAGCTTGCAGTGAAACATGGGAAGCTCGTAAACGATCAGACCTGAAGGTAAATGAAGCTAAAACAACCGACGACAAATGACAGCCAAGACTTCAATTTTTCACATGGCTTATCTCCACCATTCATGGGAATTATACTAATCACAAATATTCTACTCTTCTTCGGACTCTGCATTATCGCTCGAGTCCATATCTTCATCATTGTCTTCCGATTCCTCGGTCTCGGCCTCATGTTCCTCGCTATCAGTAGATACGGCTCGCTCCATCGGCTCGGTCTTGACTCGTGCACTAGGCGCCGGGGCGTCCTCATCTGCATCCGCATCCGCATCCACTTCCACCTCAACTTCCATGTCGTCAGCATCAATAGCATCACTCTCTAAGGTAACCTCATTGGGCCGAGGCGCCAATTGAGACTGGCCCTCCATGTTTTCTTCGGCTTCTCGCGCAGCCAGCTCCTCTGCACGTCGTACCCGACGTAACAGAACCGGATCAGATCGTAGATCGTCCGCAGTGAAAGGAGTCGAGCAGACGGGACATTTAACTGCGCGCACACGTCGAGCCCCGCGACCCGGTCCAACGGGAATTTGCATCCCGCTGCGCGCAATCATATCAAGAATAGCCTCTCGTTCGAAGCTATGTGGACATTTTGTGCTGGTGACTGGGTCCTGGTAAGGTAGCAATGTAAGGGGACATTTCGTGGAAATGCGCTCTCGCTGAATGGCAATATCGTCATCTGATTCGGACGGTTCACGGCGACTGCGCGTAGAATTCCGTGGGCCAGATGCATTTTGTGCTGCGGAAGTCGCATTAGGGTCTTCCATATGTTGGAACCATGTAGACGAGTGTGGTAACGGTGGAGCCTCGTCGTTGGGGAATTTGGCGTCGTGCACCATGCGGTAAAATCCAATGTAATCGTTATTGCTGGCATATCTAGACGCCGTAAATAGTCAGATCCTGCCTTATGAAATATAAGCAGCATAAGCAGCATGAAGATCATACCTTTCTGTCAACGACATTCCTTCCCACCTCTCAGCCGCAGTTCGAAGACTCTCTTCAAATCTCCGACTCGGCGGATTTTGAGCGGAACGCTCTCTGGCCTCCCGCTCCGGCGACCCTTCAAAATCACTATCCGCAGCATCGTCACCATCCCCATCATCACCCCTCCGTCGCCTCCCTTGTCCCCTCGTCCTCCTCGGCCCTAACGTCGCAAGCTGCGCTTCCTCTTCTTCCCTCCTAATCCGCTCAACTGTCTCAGTCAGCTCCTGCAGCCTAGTCTCTGCATCAATCATTGCCCGGAATTTCTCCTCCATCTGCCCCGTCACCTCATCAGTCTGGCGTTCAATTTCACCAAGTCTCTCTAGCTCCTCATTTGCTGCCTCCATATTAGAACCCTCTTCTTCGCCTGCAGCAGCATTTCGATTCCGTTGTTTTTCTTTGGATTTCTCATAGCGGAGTCGCGCATCACAAAGTCGCTCATTCACCTCGCCGGCGTTGTGGGTGAGTGATTCCATAGCGTGTTGGAGGTTGATTTTTAAAATTTTGCGTTCTTCGCTTTGGAGGAGCATGGTTAGCTGACGATTGGCTTCGGCTGTGAGGGGGGCTGAGGGCGGCTCGTAGGCTGGTAGCTCCGGGATATCGAATTCTGGAGGAGGTGTGTCTCCTCGTGCATTTGAGAGAGCGCGTGATTGTGACATCCGCTGGCGCGAGTACATCATCTTGACTGCGCCCGAATGGGTTGATGGATAGGATTAAAGTAGTTCGGAGCCTCGAGTGAAGCCTCGAGCGGGTTGTGGTAGATATGTGACGAGAGTATGAAAGGGGTATCAGTGAAGCGACTTGCGCTGTGATTTCTGACAAAGAGCTGCATCTTCAAAGACAAACGCGACGCGATCCGCGCTAGGCTACATCGGGGTACAAGTGGGAGCGATAAGCTTATCTCTTATCTCTTATCTACATACATCTGGACAGCGCAATAAAACACAAAGTATTGATCTATGTGATTTCACATTTTACATGCATTTAAACGTACAGAATTTGTCCTTTATAGATGAAGATTCGATATTACTCTGTCTAGACCTTGTAGAAGCAGAAGGCGTGGTAGAAACCTAGGAATGGTAAGTAGCTGCCAGAACGTTATGGCTATGGATGTTACTCACTGGCTGCCTCCTTCTCCTCTTCTGTCATAGCCAGAGCACCTGTAGCCCGGTCTCGGACTCCCATGCGCTCGCTCAAAGGGCCCAATTCACGGTCGTTCTTCTCGTCTTCCCAAATGTCCAGGAAAGGCTTGCGGTACTGTAGTTCAAGGTTGTAGTCCTCAGTCAGGCTAGTAATAAAGTTAGTGTTAAGTACACAGCATAGCATCCACCGAACACTTACGCTCGGAACGCCTCCCAAGGAACAACGTATTCAGGCACCTCCTCAACGGCCTCACGCATAAAGTAGGTATATCTCCACCCAAACGGCGGGCGGAAGACACCGTTTTCGGGAGTCGCACCAGGGAACCGGACACGATAGATATCATTGCCCCATTCGCACTTCTCCTCCTCCTCAACCTCACCATCTTCAGGACCCTCGGACTGGGCAGGCTTCGCAGCCTCACGCCCCCGACGTTGTTCATGGTACTCACTGACACGGCTCGTAATCACATCCGAGTTCGGGCACACACCAATAAAGCGACCACCCTTCTTAAGACATCCAGCAACATTGCTAAGCATCTGGCGCGTCTTCTCCTCACTTTCGAATGCGTAGTGGATCGCAAACATGGATGTAATAACATCGAAACCACCTCCACCCCATCGCGATGCCATCATAGATCCACCAGGGCCAACATTAGCATCAAAGCCGACCTGCTGGATAATCCGAACATCCCCCAATGACTCTCCAAAGCAATCTTTCGTCTGGAATTCTCCATGAAACAACGGGGCAGACGGGCGTCGACCCCGTTGTCCACGCCCAGATCGCATAGAAGCGTACCGATCCCGCGCCTGTTCAATAGAGATATTGGCCGGATCCAGTCCAACATAGAGTTCCACCTTCTGCGGCGCAAGCTGCCATTTACCCAGATCACCACCCTTTCCACAACCAAGATCAAGCACAAGAAGCCTCTTATCCTCCATAGGAGGTGGTCCCATACTATCATCCGCCCAATCCTTTGTATCGTTGTCCTGCGCGGCCCCAAACTCCTCATCCGGCGAAAACTTCTGAATCAACGTACTCTTCACCCAATTGTTGAAGCTGCGCAAACCCTTGATTTTACTCTCAGTCTTGCGCCACTCCCGACCACGCTCCGGGACCGCATTGTAGTGTTGCCGCACGACGTCCGACACGCCGCGGTCTCGGGACATCCGCTGTGCGTCTTCCATCTCTTGGCGGTCGCGATCCTCCTGTCTCCGTCTCATTGTCTCGCGATCCACGATGCCCATGCGGGCACCGCCGCCTGGTCGCTTGCGCTTGGGCGCGTCATCGGCGGGAGGACTGCGTGGTTGCAGGGGAGACCGAGATCTTCTAGATGGACCGTCGCGAGACGAGGCATTGAGAGGGCTGCGGGAGCGGTCACGGCGGGAGAAGACTGAAGGTGGTGTGCGGCCGCGCTTTCGGTTTTGTTGACTTTCTTGCATACGTCTGCGTTTGGAGACGGGGCCTGACGGAGCTTGCTGGTCGGATTCTAAGTCCTCGTTCGGCCGACGCTCCGATGCGCCTGGCGAGGCGAATGCTCCATTCTTGTTTGGTTCGTGGGCGCCGCTTGGGGTGGGCATCTTTGGAGCTCCTGAGCCGGGCGAGGAGTCCATTTTTCTGTAGAAACGTGTGGCCGGTGAGTTGAGCTGAGAGGCTTGGGTTTTGTGAGTGTGAATTATGATGAGTAATAATTCAGCGACACTGGGATCAGTACTTCGGAAGGAACCGGAAAACGAGAAGAGAAAGTCTTGAAAGAGAGAATTAAATGAAAGAAATCAAGTCAAGTGCATGAGACAGGTGAGAAGACTCGAGAGTTCCTTTTGAGACGAAGGAGCTCCGCTGTGGGTCAATATCGCGGGAACCAATTAGGTCTCACAATGCCATAAATCAATACATTAAGTTCTACTATAGCGATTTGAAGGCCGAATAAGATTGAGTTGGCATACAAAGACCAAAAGTGGCCCTAATACTAGAATGGCCTTTGTTACACTTTTCTACCTATTCACGTTTACGGCATTGTGCTTGAGTCTATGCCTGTGCACTGCGGAAGACAGAACCTTGGAAGTAGGAGAAGACTATGCGAGACTTTCGGAGATAGAATTCTAGTTGTAGCATATAATTATGCAGGCTTTGGCAGTTATTTGGAATAAAATATGGTTTTTAAATTTCTATGACGCTCAAAAACAGACGAGTAATGAAATATCAACTCGATTTCACATGTTCGAAATGATTAGATGTGAGACTCGAAGACAAAGAACGCAGCATATTGATAGGACGCGCAGGAAGAAACAACGGAAAGAAATATTCGAGATAATGCATATCACAGGCAACAAAGGACGAAGTAAAGATACCAGGTCAAAGCCATGCGAGTTCGATCACAATTTCCTCTAATCCGCACGGAGGGTCGACTCCACCGAACTGACACCATTCAATTTCACACAAGCCTTTCGAAGCTGGTACATTTGAATGATCATGTTTGTCACACGGCTCTGGTACTCAGGATTTACCTTTTCACTGTCTGCGCCGGCAAGGTGATAGCTGAGTCGGCGAGTTTGCACATCAATCCAGTTGGTCAGCTTAGAGCGGCCCGATGTCAGAAGAAGATCCATCCCAAATAACTCAGATGCGTGCAGGAGATCGTTGGCACCATCCTTTCCAGCGTGTGGCTGTGGACGTACGATCTCATAAATCTCTTCATTGGGTAGCGCAGTGTTCTGAGCACCCGGAGTGGTAGACGATTCATTGAGGGGAGAATTCCGACTGCTTTGAAGACGCGGAGTGGGAATGAAGTCTTCAAACAGATCAATGACACCTTCAAGAAGACAGTCATCAATAGCTGCAAGTGCAACAGGACTGGATCGAGGGGCAGAAAGAGGGGTTCTTGGTCGAGAGGGATCAGGAGCAGGGAGCGTTGACAGCGAAGCCGGAGCAATAGTCTCAGCGCTTTGTCGAGGAGGGGCGGAGGTGTGAGGTACACTAAGAGATGGGAATGTCGACTGTCCAGCCGAAGCAATGGTTTCATCATTGTACACCTCACGGGGTCCCACGGGCCGGGCAGGTTGGCTGAATCGCTTTGGCTTCTTTGCCTTGGGATCATTTTGGGTGTCTGGAGACTTTTCTTGAAATCGCTTCGCCGTCCTGGCTACCGCATTGAGTACCGCCTGCCTTTGTAGTTCTAACGTCTTTGTCTGGTCGTTTGCCCTAGCCACTGACTTAGCCAGCGCATCTGTCTCTTTTTTCGCCTCCAAGTTCTTTGCAGCTTGTGCTCGGCGCCTGACGCCAGCAACTTTACAATCGGCACCCGGAACATTCGACCTGATGATAGGCATTGGATGCCGCGTCTCACCATTTTCATCCATCTCATAGAGCATCTTTCTCCATGGAGTTTTAAGGTACCCGAACCTGTCGAAGTTGATAGTGTAATTCTTCCGCACAGCAGGAGCATAGTACATCACCTGAATGATCTGATCATCATTCAAGGATTGATCTTCCCTGGGAAGATTGGTTGGTTCATTGAACTTGGCACGTTCCTGTGCTTTCGCAGCTGGAGCTGAAGTCGATGGCGTCAAGTTCATGTCGATATCCTCATCGGCGTCTGTCTCAACTTTGGCTTGAGCTGGTCCCACTGGGCTGTTGGTCACATTCCCGCTGCCGGCCGTGAAAGGCACGGTGAGAAGATCATCAGGTGTGCTCAGAGGTGAACTGATCTGCGGGGGGGCTCTCTTCTGCCTCTTCATTAAGGGGTCTGGGGTCAAAGTCCATCTTTGTCAGCTTGTGAATCAAGCAAATGAGAATGTTCTGTCGGAAATTGACCACCGGAATGATCGAGTCGATGATGGCAATAGAGAGAGTTGCGGTGACGGTGACGGTGACGGCAAGGGGATATAGAGTTACTTGAAGTCACAGAAGTCACGGAACGTCGAGATGTTGTGAGCATCCACCTGCACCAGTGACGGAACGATTGTTTCACTTGAGCACGTGCCAGGCAAAGCAGACGCGTTAAGTCGCAGTGCGCTCTTGTGATGGTTGGTAATGCGTATCGTTTCAGGCGCGATATTGGAACTGCATCTCAACGGTTAACGGTTGCAATACTGTACCCGTGGACGGACACAGGCATCTGATATACTGCAAGCCTATTACTGACTTGATATATGCATAAAGTTGCTTTCTGCAAATTGAACAGTGCCTCTATATGTAGAGAACTACTGCAAGTCAAGCAGTAGTTACCGAGGTAGGTAGCCAAACACCTAACCGATTCCCCGAGAATTTGGAACCTTGCTCCAACCAGCGTGAACCCACTATGCTCCTTGATAAGAAGAAAAGTGAAACTGCTGTGCAGGCAGCAATATAAGGGAAAGCGTATACTGACTGACTGGCCCTAAGTCCAGAGGATCCATAAAGGAAAGCTTAGTAACCTTGAAAATTAATTAGCAAATTGACTGAGTAGCAAGATGTATGCAAGTAGGGGACGAGCATAGGAGATGGATACATATAGAAGATAATTGCATTGTATGTATGGCAGGATACCTGATATAAGGAAAGAAGTATAAGCCCCAGAGCGAGTAGATGGCGAGAATAATTCTGATCCTGATAGTGTGCGCAAAGATGCTCAAACGTTTTCAATATGTAGAGGTGATTGGATCAAGGTATGCAGAACACTTGAGATGATTCTTCCGTAAAACAGGCAAGATGTATAACAAGACTTTTCGAGATTTGGCCTTATGAGATGGTCAGAGAGAATATACAGTACGCAAAGTTACAGTCTTCAAGCCTTCAGTGGCGTTTAAATGGTGAACTTTGAATCACAAATAAACGAAAGGCAAGTATTATAAGGATTTTGGGTTCGAATAATCAATCAGAATGTTAGAAATAGGGTATATTGGGGAATAATGTAGTAATTCTTGCGTGTAAGTTTTGGATGCTAGTGCGAGGACGCCTACTTGGAAAAGGATGGTTTGGAGGAGGCGTTAACGGAAGTGCAACAATGAAGAAGAAGACAGGGAATGAATGAAGATAATATAACAGCCTGAGGCTCGGGTGCATTGAAGACAAGAGCTGGTAGTTGATACCAGAAACTTACTTGCATAATGACGAATAATAGCCTGTGAAGAGTGGATATTGTGGCTGAGTGAATGACACAGGCGACGACTCAAATCTGCAAAGAATTGCATGTAAGATGTAGCATCATACCCCATTCGAGTGGGCAAATGGCGCCCTTTCGAGTCAGAAATATAGCAGACGAGGGCGAGACAGAAGCTAGCAAAAAGAAGACCGAATATCAATAATAATTGTAAGGAAATAAGGTTCGTGATGTGAATTCAATAAAGTCCAGCTGCCTATGCAGAATTTAGTGCTAAAACGCCGTGAAAATGACACATGCTAGGAAACAGTGAAAGAATAAATGACAAGGAATGAACCGTTTATAAACGGCAAGGTTATTATTTCGGGGCGACGGATTTCCCGTGTGGAGATTTGGAAGTCAGCGATTGTCGTATCCGTCGAATCTTGGCCCACCACTCGCGGTCTGCAGTTTTCCGGCTCTCTTCGTTCTCCTCATCAGGTGCAGACTCTGGCAAGGGTGTACTGGGTCGACTGCTTATTGTATCCATGGATGCCACAGATCGGAGTCTTCGACGGTGCTTGACCTTGCATGCCTCAGCCACGACCTGCCATCCACTGCGCAGGCCATCCACCTTTTCATTTGGCTTGCCAGAACCGCTTTGTGACACTCCGTCAATCCATGGGCAGTATTCCATGTGTTCCAAGGCCACATCTAATGATGTATAAACTGTGACATCTCCGTTTTCCTTTGGCTTATACATCCAAAGGCCCAGGCGGCGAAAGCAGGCCTTGCATCCGACTAGCCCTGCAGCCCCATCGGCCACAGAGTCCCACCCAAAGAAAGCCAACGCAAGTGCTTTCCGGTTGACTTGTTTCGACGGCTCTGCTGGAGGCTGTGGGGCAAGGGCCACATTCTCTCCATTGGCTTCGGTTTGTGAATTTGTCTCCTCCGAGGCTGTCTCCGAATCCTTGAACCACTCCACAGGCAACAATTTGATGAGATCATCCAACTCAAATCCCTCGGGAGTTTCGATAACATCTTCGGTCGGTAGTTTATCACCCAGCTTCACAATGTTCACATAACGATCATGCAGCTTAGCTATGGCCGCGTCTGTGTTTGCTAATTGCAAGTGTTGAATAGTAGCTGGAAAAAGTCAGAATCGAAGTCGAAGGGATGGCACTCGAACACTTTAAACATACCGTCACAGCCTTTGTTCCGCCACGGGCAGTTCTCACCATGGGCTTCACTTAGCTGCTTTGCATATTCGTCCACCAACCTTGCGCCTATTTACAATCATTTAGTACTTAGCCACATGAAGAGAGAGAAAATTTGAAGGAGTTGAACTTACGGACTTCCTTGCGCTCCTGAACCTTCTCCTCATCGTATCCATCCAGCTCGTCGATTTCGTCGGGCAGCTTCACGACCGCCGAGCCGCCACACCCACTGACACAGCTCACTCGCATAGTATCAGAACAAATCCAACCACGCTTGGCCCACTGCACCTCATTGATCGGTGCAGGTTTAGAAGTCCATCGGTCCACCCGGCGGAAAGTCTCCAATCTTTCAAGAAAAGCATCGCGGTCCCAAGGAAGAAAAGTTGGGCGCTTCGTTGAAGATGACGATGACGTTCGGGATATTGGGCGTGAGAGCTTCAATATAGAATTGCGCACGGAAATTGGGTCCGAATTGTCGTTGCTGGCCAGACGGACCTTCTTGATGGAGAGGTTGGCGGGTGGGCGGTCTTGCGCGCCTGCGGCAGCGGGTGTTGATGCTGACGTCGAGGGTTTCGGGGCATTGTCGGGATTGAGAGGTTTAGATATAGATTCTAATACTCGGTGGAATTTCCGTTTCTTTGACTCCACGGCGTAAGACATGGTGGAGTTGAACGATGAAGTTGTTGTCAGACAATGCGAGCGCTTCGCGATCTGGAGCTGCGGATGAAGTACAGATAGGTGCCTCAGGCATTATGACATTGTACCACCAATTACCTCGAAATCTCTGAGTTGCTCTGTACTTTATTTAATCAATCAGCATAGCTTATACCGATAGATATCTAAATGATCACGAATTTAGTCCCCTTTCGACGAATAGTTGAAAGTAAATAGTATTTGTGTCTGCAGCAAATCCCTCATGTCTGATTGGTCCCGCAGTTGAATGACCCGCAACAATCGCATGATCTCCGTAATCGAGGGTTCGCTTTTTCTTCCTCTCCGGTTTCTCCCCTCATTCACCTTTGTCATGGCTTCTCTGGGCACGTCTCTGCCATTGTGGCGGAGTCTCGCGCCCCGTCTATCCAAAGACTTATTGACATGCCGCCAATGCCTTCGAACCCAGGGCTACGCCGCCAAATCCGTCCGCCGATATGGTGCAATGCCTCCTCCCCAGCCGAACAAAATCCGATCGTCCCTCTTCACCGATAAAAACCGCCAATTCTTCACTCACAGTCTTCGCCAGTCTGCCGCTGCACCTGCCATAAGTGCAGTTGCAGAGGGTTCCACCAAGGCAAAGTCGCGCATGCCCAAGCTCAGCTCCAAGTCCGTCGCATACTGGCTTTTGGGCAGCGCAGCAAGTGTCTTCGGTATTGTGGTTTTTGGTGGTTTGACTCGTCTTACTGAATCTGGGTTAGTCGATTGAGCACATGCCCTGTGAAATGGACTAAGGGTTCGAGAAAATCGAGATCTGGAAGCTGACGGGATAATCTTGAACACAGGTTGAGTATCACCGAATGGCGACCTGTCACCGGCTCCGTGCCCCCAATGAACGCGGAGGATTGGGAGTCCGAGTTCGCAAAATACCGTGCATCCCCCGAATTTCAGCTATTGAACCCGCATATGACTTTGTCCGAATTTAAGTCGATTTACTACATGGAATGGATCCACCGGCTTTGGGGCCGATTCGTGGGTCTATCGTTTGTCCTGCCCGCTGTCTACTTCGTCGCCCGGAAGAAGGTCTCCACGCCTATGGCTTGGCGTCTTTTCGGTATTGCCAGTCTGATTGGATTCCAAGGTTTCCTGGGTTGGTGGATGGTCAAGTCTGGATTGAAGGATGATCTCTTCGCGCCTGGAAGCAACCCCCGTGTGAGCCAGTACCGATTGACCGCTCACTTGGGTGCTGCGTTTACCTGCTATGTCGCTATGCTGTGGAACGGTCTCGCTATTTTGCGCTCTCACAGACTCATGAAGGATGCCGCATCTGGATTGAAACAGCTTGAGGCTCTGCGTGACCCTCGCCTGGCAATCTTCCGTCGTTCCGTCGCTGGTCTGGCCCTTCTCGTCTTCACCACTGCCATGTCTGGTGGTCTTGTCGCCGGTCTGGATGCCGGTCTCATCTACAATGAGTTCCCCTACATGGGTAAGGGTTTGGCACCTCCCACCACCGAGCTATTTGATGCCCGTTACTCTCGCCGCGAGGATCGCTCTGACCTCTGGTGGCGCAACATGCTTGAGAACCCTTCCCTTGTCCAGCTTGATCACCGTATCCTCGCTATGACTACTTTCACCTCGATCATGGCTCTGTGGGCCTACAGTCGCCGCTCCCCAACTGTGAGGCGCCTTTTGCCCGTTCCTGCCCGCAAGGGTATTCACGGTGTCGTGGGCTTTGCTTTCATGCAGGTTGGCCTCGGTATCTCGACTTTGCTCTACCTCGTTCCTACCCCGCTTGCGTCCGCCCACCAGGCTGGTAGTGTGTTGCTTTTGACTTGGGTCATTGTATTGGGTAGCCGTGTCTGGAACCCGTCTCGCACCGCGAAGCTGTTGCAGATGGCTGCCAAGGGCCGTGGCCAACCGGTTTCCTTCTCGCAGACCTATTCGCGCTCACCGGCGTCCTCGGCTGCCTCTGCCGTGAAGCAACTGTAAGACAATTGCTTGCATGTATGAATACGTTGATTAAGACGGAATTCTGTTTAAATTACCGCCTTGCTGTTCTGATACCATCTCCATTCCTGTTCCGTGGATCTCATTTATCATCCACCTGTATTAGTTACTATTGTCTCCATCATATTGTACAGAAACCAACATTCAAACAAGCTTTTCATTCATTCTTAACTAAACACAAATACATTTTCTGCTCTTATGACCGCTTCAATTTGAACAATCTTAGATACAGTAATTCAAATTTGCCAATACACCTTCAACCATGAATCTCATAACTCAAAACACCGAGTGCGACTGCACATAACTCGTTTGGCTAACCTGTCTCCTCATTCGGCCAGATCAATTGGTCGCGCCCTGCGAGACGGGTTCCTTCTTGGATTCTCAAATTCCTCGCCTGCCATCTGGGAAGCAGACATCCAATCCCCCCGCAAATCACCAGGCCCCTGGTGGGTCATCAAATGCCCAGCACCGCCGATCCCACTCTCCGCGGCAGCATCAACTGAATCAGGGCCGGTACGCCCCTGATCCAAATGCGCGTCTCCATCTCGCCTTGGTGCACCATCGAATGAGATATCAACCAAAGTGTTCGCTGCCGCGCGTTCTGCAGCGAAGTGCTCAGCTTCACTCTCACCATGGGCAGGGGCAGGGGTAGGAGTAGGCAAGGGGCTCATTGGTCCACTTCCGCTAAGGGCATGTCTGGGAGCTGGCATTGAGGTATCCAGCAAAGATGGTGAAGAACGTCTCTCATCGGCGGGAACATGAGTAGAAGTGAAGGACTGATGACTTCGATTTCCACCACGTTCACCAAGGCACTGTCGGCAGCACTGCCAACCGCAAGAAGTACAGCGCGACATCCCATCTCTGTTGCGATTATTGCACGTATCACACTTTGCGGTGTGGGCAGCTACGTCGGTGAACTCGACAAAGACATCCTGTCTCTGGTTGTTCTTCAGACAGAGGGGTAGTCTGTCATGGTGTTGTCTTTCTGGACCTGCTTTGCGTTCTTTGGTTACTTTCTTTTGACGGGGCCCGCGGGGCTTTTGTATCGCCACTTCGGGTGCTTTTGTCGACTTTTCAGATATTTTCGATGGAGTGGTCTCAGTGCTGTTGGTTTCTCCTCTTTCCGTCTGGGGTAAGACCCTTTCCGTCTGGGGTGATACTGTCGTTGAGATGGGTGGGAGGGGGCTTGAACGATGATCATCCAGGTATGGGTTGAGTAGATTGGAGATAGAGAGAGGCGGAAGGACTGTGTGGTATCCCTGTTCATCTCTCAAATATTAGTGAATGCGGTTTATATATTTCAGTCGAAATAGTGATGGGGACACGAACCCATGTAGGGCTAGGCGACGGCAAACGACGTGATTGGTAGAAGGTCTAATATATAAGTAAGCTTTCACTTCCATATACATTGAGCTAAATCGAGTAATGGTACTGACAGGAAAGTTGCGTATTGGTGGTTCTTGCACAAGACTCCATGGATATTCCAAGTGATGTCCTTGAGGTGCTTGTATAGGACTGCCATGGGTGGGTGCATTGGTCAGGGTTTGGAGTGGTTTCGATGTAGTCGTGACACTGTGAGCATGATGCGGGCATCCTTCGTGAGGGCAGACTTCATGCCCAGGGGTTGGATGAGCTATAGCCTGGTAGCTATTTGAAACATGTTGCTTTGAAGGCCTCTCCTGCGGAGGATCGGAGGCAGATCTTTTACTCATGACTAGTAACAACAAAGGGCTTGATAAGACGGGTAGCAAGTGAAAGAAATCTGATGGAATGATGAGATGATGATGGGAAGATAGAGAGGTGATGGAGAAAAGGTAGAGATTGAAAAAGGAATCTCTTTTATGCACGACTTCACGGTATCTCCCAGATTATCATATTCAAGGTTGAGATGATTCTCACAAACACGGTGAATTAAAATAGATAACTGTTTTATACAGAGAAATGGGGAATATAGATGGTCCAGTATGAATAGCGTGAAGTAAAGCAGCATAAAGCTTCGAATATTTTGAAATACCTAGTGTGTTCTTATCTGATGCATTCCTCGTAAAAACCGTTGTATCCGCAAGGCCAAATGGCCACAAATCCAAGATATACCAATCCAACTCAGAGATTCATTTCATTTATTTGTGGGCTGCAGATTGCATGTTAGTGACACTGGCTCGTGAAAATTACAGGAGACTAATAACATACGGATTCCCTCCTCAGGCTGGGGCTCAATTCCAGCAATCTCGGCAGCAGACTTGCCCTCGGCGTGGGTCTTATCCTCCTTCATGAAGGGGAAGGTGAGAACTTCCTTGATACTGTAGTTGTTGGTGAGGAACATGACAAGACGATCGATACCCAAGCCCCAGCCACCAGTGGGAGGCAGTCCGTACTCAAGGGAGGTGCAGAAAGTCTCATCAACCAATTGCGCCTCGTCATCTCCCTGGTCCTTCTGGCGGGCTTGCTCCTCGAAGCGCAGACGCTGGTCGAAGGGATCGTTCAACTCAGTGTACGAGTTACAGATCTCCTTTCCGATACAGAAGGCTTCGAAGCGCTCGCAAATACCGGCCTTCTTGCGATCGTACTTGGCCAAGGGGGACATCATCTGGGGGTGACCGAAAATGAAGGTGGGGTTGATGCAGGTATCCTCGATGAATTCACCAACCATCTTGTCCAGCATGCGGGCATTGGTGAGCGGCGGTGAGCAATCAAGGTTCATCTTCTTGAGCATCTTCTTAAGGAATTCATTGGTCTCCTGGGTGTGGAGCTGATCACTGGGAGGGAACTTCTCTCCGCAGGCCTCCTCCAAGGCCGGCATCATCTCCACTCGCCGCCAAGGAGCCTTCCAGTTGACGTTGTACTCCTTGCCATCCTGGCTGTGGAAGACAGTCTCATATCCACCGGTGAGCTCCTTGACCAAGCCGGAAACCAGCTCCTCGGTCATGTTCATCAGGTCGTACATATCAGCGTAGGCCATGTAGAATTCACAGGTGGTGAATTCGGGGTTGTGGGTCAAATCAATTCCCTCGTTACGGAATTGTCTTCCAAGTTCGTAGACTCTCTCAAGTCCACCAACGATCAACATCTTGAGGTACAGCTCTGGGGCAATACGCATGAAGAGGTTCATGTCATGCTCGTTGTGGTGAGTGACGAAGGGCTTGGCGGTAGCACCACCGGCAATGGCGTTCATCATAGGGGTCTCAACCTCAGTGAAATCGCGAGAGTCGAGGTAATGACGGATGTAGCTGACGATCTTGGCACGGGTGCGGAAGATGTTGCGAGAGCGGTCGTTCATGATCAAGTCCAAGTAGCGTTGGCGGTAACGCTGCTCCTTGTCCTGGAAACCGTAGTGCTCGGAGGGGATGGCGTGCAAGCAGGGCGACAGGAGAATGACCTCGGTAGCGAAGATGGACAGTTCACCATCGGCGCGGTTCTTGGGGGCAGTACGGCCGGGGAAACCGACAATGCCGACAATGTCACCACGGCGGAGGTGCTCGTGCTGGTCCTCAAATGGCACGCTTCCAGTGGAGTTCTGGGCCTGGCACATGACCTGGATCTTGACACCCTCGGCGCGAATGTCGTAGAAGTTCAGCTTGGTACCAGCAGAACGCTTGGTGTAGATACGGCCGGCGATGCGGATAGGAACATCGGGCTTCTGCTCGCCCTTCTGGAGGCCCTCGTACTCCTTAAGGAACTCGCGCAGATCATTGGTGACATGGAACTTGTGGGGGTAGGGATCCGGGTTCTTGGTCTCGCGCAGCTTGTTGATTCTCTTGCTGCGGATCTCGAAGTATTGCTGTGAACAAAGGAACAATTGTCAGAATGTCAATTGAGGAACAACATAGGTCATACATACGTTAGGGCTCAAGTTTGACTCCTCGTCCTCGGCAGAAACCTTCTTCTCAGCCTTGGGAGGAGCAGCGGCCTCCTTCTCCTTCTTCTTGTTCTCCTTCTCACGCAGCTTCTGGCGTCTCTTCAATTCGGACTTGGACACCTTCTCGCCGGTGACCTCATCAAGCAGCAGGTTGGCCATGGAGGCCTCAGCCTCCTTAACAGGGTTGGAATCCGCCATGATGTATGTTGGTTGAGGGATCAAAGTGGATGGTGGGATAAGGAAGGAGGGGCAACCGAAATTTTGGGCGTGAGTCACGCCGGTCGCTCCTGATTGGCTACAACCTAACTACAGAGCGCAAAGCTTCCGTTATGATTCATAGATTCAACGAAATTGTACAATCTGATGATTGTTGATATGATTGAGGCTTACTTGAAGTACTTTACTACTCGGTTTAAGTCATTTCAATGCGCTAAATCTATGACTTGGTCAATTATGGTGTTACTACATCGGGGGCTTAGGGCTTAGGGCAGACTAGTGGGGCTTTACCCCGCTGTCCCCATCTCCCGAGAGCTACGGAAGTATAGACGTCGCCAAAATGTAAAATGAAGCATATCTGCCATTTTAACAGTTACTGGCCCTATTGATTACTGGGGTTAAAGCATGGTGTGGAGGGTGCGTTTTAGGGGCCAAAAGTACTTTGTTCGGTCCTCTTTTTTGTATCACGATGCACATTTGCAACCTTGGAACACGGAGATCGATTCCATTGATCTATGTATAATAAGCCTCTTCTTGGATGAACTGTACATTAGTCAATGCATCAGTAGTATACTTGGAGTTATTACGGTAGCTTACCTAGTCAGGTAGGTTAGACGATTATATAGTGCCTCGAGGCGATATTTCAGGAGATCAAATCCAGAAAATTTTGCGCTGAGCTTTATTGCATGTTGCGAACTCCTGAAAAGAATTGATAGACGAAGAAGTCTCGAAAGCCATATCATGTCATCCTGAAGCTGTAATTGATATGGTAGAGTTGTAGTTAAGCACCAGAGGAACATCATTCGACCATCTAGTAGCAGCATGTCAACAAGAGAGAAGGGAAAGCTCCGAGCTGAATGTTTGCAAGATGTCGCAACACACCTGAACCTCTCACCTCACTGAATCATCTTCCCCTCGTCTATAAATTCATCTTTCTTTTTCAACTTCTCTTCTTCCTCTCTTCCTTCTTCCACCCTCCACCCTCAACTCAACCCTGCAACTTCTTCATTTCTATTGTTCCATCCTTCGCCCTCCACCCTCATCGAGCAACTTCAATCAACATCCTTCCTTTATTTCGACTTGATCCCCTCTTTGTCTTGTACCATCAACGAAGGACGAGGGCCACTCTCAGTCCATCGTCCTCATCGTCTAACACAACCCTCTCCCTTCTTCCATCGCCTCTACCTTTGCTGTTACTTGAGCTTCTTCTCATTCTCTTCTTTTAAACATCGACGGAGGACGAGGACCGTTATGTGTGCTCGTCGTCGCTCCCCTACCCCAAAAGAAGAAGACTCTCTTATCGTGAGCCCACCTCGCCTGGGTCCAGCCCACTCTCACGTCTCACCTCACCAACGACCTCCTCACCCACAACTCTCTCGATCCATCACTTCGAGAGCTACAGGAATTCTCCCAATGTCGTTTACAGCCCCGCCTCCTCCTGAGTCTGGCAGCTTGCCGGCTCCAGGCTCTCTCGACAGAATGACCCTCAACATGCGGGACCTTGTGAAAAAGGTTCAGAAGTTGAGCCAGCTGGGGATTGAGGACAACCAGATTGCCCTCCCAAAGGTTTGTGTCGTCGGTGACCAAAGCACCGGGAAAAGCTCCTTAATTGAAGCCATTTCCGAAATTCGTGTTCCTCGGAGCGCGGGCACCTGCACGCGATGTCCAATGGAGATCGTTCTCCGGGAGTCCGAGCCCGATCAGCCTTGGAGATGTTGCATCTCCTTAGTCCGCGGAAGTCTTTATGATCCGCAGAAGACTCTAAGATCAGTGCTTCCGAGAACAGAAAAGACCGAGTATCTCGGTCCCTGGCTTCGCAGAAATCATCTGGACGAGGAAGAGTTTGTGACTTTGACGGACAAAACTCAAGTGCAGGAAGCAATCTGGTGGGCGCAATTGGCGATCCTGAACCCCACGTCCGACTCCCAGGAATATGTACCCGGCAAGAATTTCGGTACTTCGACCGCCATGGAAGTGAAGTTTTCCCCAAACATCGTGCGGTTGGATATATCTGCTCCAGACTTCCCTAATTTGTCGTTTTACGACTTACCCGGCGTCATAAACCAGGCGGATAACGATAGCGAGAAGTACCTGGTAAACCTTGTCCAGAAACTTGTGAAACAATACATCTCACAGGAAAATTGTATCGTTCTCCTCACTCTCTCAATGACAGATGATGGTGCGAACTCGAGCGCAGCCCGGATTATTGGGGATGTCAAGGGTGCCAAGGACCGCACTCTTGGTGTCCTTACCAAACCAGATCGACTCGCCATCACGGATGAGTCTTACCAGCAGTGGGCTGAGATTCTGGACGGTCGAAAGTTCCCTATTGGTCATGGTTACTACGTCGTATGCAACAATCCAAGCCCCGACGTGGATCATTCGATCGCCCGGCAAGAGGAGGAGGTTTTTTTCGGTCAACCTTTTTGGTCGGGGAATATGGCTGCATACCAAGACCGTTTTGGTGTACGGAAGCTGCAGAGCGCCCTTTCTGATGTGTTGATGGCACAGATCCAGAAGTGCCTGCCGTCGATCATCAAGCAGATTGATGAGAAGGCAATTCGCATCGATGAAGAATTGAGGACTTTGCCGGATCCTCCAGCCGATAATGTCCAGCGTATTCTTATTGAGAAGGTTTTGACGTTGGGCCTACGCTTTAAGGGAATGTTCAGCGACGGACCTGACCCCGAGAGCAGGATGCTTCAGCAATCCTGGAACAACCTTGTGCTCGATTTCCAGAAGGCTCTCGAGAAGACTCAACCCCGCCTTCGTCTCGGAGCGATATCCGACTCATATCAAATGAGAGAAAGGTTGGATCTTGACTTGGAAATGGGGGTTCCAAGCACACCTCGGGGGAAAAGAAAGGCAGCTGCCGTGGAGGAACCTCCCCGGAGCGCGGAGCCGAAGGCTCAGCAGCCTTCAACACCAACACCTGCAAAGGTATTTGTGACGAACCATTTTTCGAGGTGGGAGACCGCCCGGAGATTTGAGCTAGAAGAGATTCGTTCAATCAAACAAGAGTGCCAACGGGCCGGGATCCCCAATCAGATTGAACCCAGTGCGATTCAGACGCTGAACCGCGAAATGGTGATGCACTGGGGGGGAATCGCAAACGACTTTGTCCGTGCCTTGCACCGTGTGGTTGGAAAAGCCATATTGATGACACTTGACAATGTGATCGCGGAGTACCAGCAGACTGGTCTCTATCGGGAGCTCCAAAAGCTCATCAGTGAATTCTTGGAATCCATCGAGGCACAATTCGCCGAAGACGTCTCAGCTTATTTCGAGATGGAGCGTGGTAGCACCCTCACAATGGCGCAAATGGAGCATAAGGAGCGCACAACTCGCTCTCTAAAGCTGTTAACAGAGCGCCGTGACCATGCACGAGCCAAATGTTGGCTCAGACTTCGTGGCCGCCCCGACGACGATCACACCAAAGTTCCTGCCTCCGAGCTCGGGCCCGACCCTTTCTCTCAAGAGATTGAGATGATGGCTGTAAGTCACTATTTTCAAGTTTGATCATTTCAGAGTACTAATTATTGCAGAACTCGCGTGGCTACTATGAAATCGCTCGGATGAGGTTCACCGATATGGTGTGCCTGTTAGCAGAGTCCAGGGTCAAATGGAAGTGCCGAGATCAACTCCAACAGACCCTAGAAGCTCAGCTGAAAGCTGCAACTCCAGACCGCTGTAGTGAGCTCATGGCTGAAGACCCTGAGCGTGAAGCTCGACGAAGCTATCTTGCAAAACAGCGAAAGAAACTGAGCCAGGCTCAGGAATGGCTCGCTACCGTCTACAACGTCGATGAGGATGAGGAAATTGAGGCTCCGTCCGACGCCACCATGGGCGATCGAGAGGATCTCCAGGACTGGGATGATACTTTTGCGTAAAGAAGCTTGTGAGATCGGTCATTTTGTTGAGACGTTGAAATTTCGTGGATATTTTTGCTATGGATGAGTTCTGATGAGATTGCGGGCTCCCGATGGTTGTGACAGTGGAAGAAGTGATATTACGAGGATAGTTTGTGTGTTTGATGACCGATATGTAGGACTGTCCCTGTTCTAATGTCTGTGGTGTTGTATCATGTCCTATTTCGGGGAAATTTTGTGGATTTGAACTTTGATGATGCTTGAAAGAAACACAAAAAAAAACTTGATAACTAGAAAACAATAAAAAAAGAATGAGGGAATATCCTTTCACGTGCACATCACTGACATAAGTCCCCGCGCGGCTTTTCAGCGTTCTTGAATAAATATTAGGTTTGCAGTCCTTCTCGCACTCTACATCTACCTACTATAAGCGGTATTTGGAATGCCTCAATGGACCTTTCAAGGCCGGCATATTACCTCAACAGCCGACGTGCACGTGGTCGTGAGTGCCTGACCAGAATATGTTCAGCAACCACAGATCCTAGAATGATATCAGTATACACTATATCAATTCTGGGGACTATATACTTACTACCCGGTAGTTTGTCACCCAAGTAACGACAAGGCTGCGCTTGCAATTTGCCGACCCATTCACGGAAAGAAATGCGAGCTCGGGCACTATCATAGCAAGTGACACTGCTGTCCATTGAGCTTGGCTTTTCACTGACATCACTTAGACTGTCCATAATAATGATAGGATACCGGCGGAAGCCGATCGCCTCCATAGAAAGATAATCCAGGGATGTTTGATCAAGCAGCATGGCAAATATTTGTCCCAAGGCTCGGTTTATCGGGTCCTTCATTACGCCAAGCCATCTTATACCAAGCGTGATAGCTTCGTCATCGGAGATTAAGAGTGGCTTGTTATTTTCATTGAAATTCACTGATTCTAAACGCAGCGACTTCAGCGTGGGTGCTGCTGTGCGTAGGAAGGTTTAGAAGCTATAAGGGGTGGTTTCAATCCAGCAAAGATGGAGCTCAGCAAGCGGTGTGAATTTGAGACGCTCGGATATTTCGGTAAAGTAGCTAGGGCTCATATTTCGATTTGGACTACATTGTGAGTATGTCAAGACCTTCAAAAAAGGTGCGGCCTCGACAAGAATGTCACTCAGTATATTGATGGGATTCTCGTCTGGACTTTGTGCAAGTTCACAGAGATGTAGATCTTCCAGCTCTCGTAAAAGCGAGGCAATAATTCTTGTGTGTCCTGCGAGACTATCAGACCTGTTGCCGTAAGGGCTATTGTGGTAGCCATTGCATGTATGGAGCGTTCTGAGACGGCGATTGTTAGTGACCACCGCTTTTATTATTGCCGAGAAGGCCAGGACATGATCTTGCCCAACCGTGAATGGACCACTCTTTGGGCCGTGCCGACTGGCCTTGGAGGAAGATCGCAAAACAAAGGTTTCAGGTTCTCAAAGCGTGTGTCACATTCGTGAGGGTATTTGCGAAGATTTTGGACTCCGTAATCTGAAGAATCTGCTGATATTGCCTGGTATTGTGTATAACATTCCTCCAGGTCCACTCCCAGTGTTCGGCATGCTTCTGGGTGTCCGGTGCGTCGAAACGCTTCCAAGCTCAACTGATATCGTTCCTTGAACAAGTTTGGTTTGATCCATACCTCTTTAACTCGTACTCGGAGGTCCTCATCTGCGGCGAGACGTTCTAACCGACGTAGGCTATCGCACTTGACGGATATGCAGATGCTATTGAAATATCGTTCGACAAATTCCTCCCATGATTTCGTGTAGAGTGAGTTGCAAGAGTTGCGAAGTGTGCACCAGTCCGACAGTTCGAGATAGCTGCAAATCTCATTCACAAGTTCCGTGGGGACTCTGGTGATGGACATGTTGATACAGGATGAGCCATATGTTGAAAGAAAAGGATAGACTCAAGATTTGGGATTTTGGGGGGCAGTTGTGACAGTTGTGACACGTCCAATGCAAGAAGAGCACAAGTACCGAGTGTTTCTAATGAGAAATTGAGTTATGCCTACTTGGTTAAGAATCTGCATTGAATCGCTTAGCGGTAAGATTCTTGTTTATTTTATTTTTGTTTTTTGTTTTTGTTTTTGTTTGTTTTCAGGGCAAAGTCGTACATCCTGGAGTAAATCTGTATAAGTCGGTGTAATATAGACCTAGGGGGGTGTGACCTTTGGCATTTAGCCTGTAGGATAGTTTAAATCAAACTAAGACTATAATAGCCAATCGTGAATTCCAGTCGATAAACTAAGTGTATGTGTTCGGGTCGATCATCCCGCATTGTCAGGTGAGCCACCGAAAGCGTCTTGTCTTGGCGCCCGGAGCTCTCACTGATTCCGGCCACCTGGTGTCTTCTATTAATTGTCTCTCTTTCCCTTACGACAATCATGCTTCAAGTACCTATTCGGGAACAATCTAACATGGCCTCTACTAAGGCTGTGATTCTGGTATGGTGGCGCAATGATGCTGCACCTCCCTCACCGTATACTGACACATCAAACAGGTCGGAGGTCCCTCGCGGGGCACTCGTTTCCGCCCATTGTCGCTCGATGTGCCTAAGGTGCGTGCTTGACTTTGCTCCAATTCCCTGTGATTCTACGCAGCAGATTGGCCCTGACGCTTTCTTCCTGCTTGTTAGCCCCTTTTCGAAGTCGCCGGTCACCCGATCATTCACCACTGCTTCACCGCGCTCGCCAAGGTCCCCGATGTGCGTGAGGTCATTCTGGTTGGATACTACGATGAGAGCGTCTTCCGTGACTTCATCAAGGATGCCGCAAAGGAATTCCCCCAGTTCCGCATCCAGTACCTGCGGGAATACACTGCGTTGGGTACGGCCGGTGGTCTGTACCACTTCCGTGATGCGATCCTCAAGGGCAAGCCTGAGCGCTTGCTCGTGTTGAACGCTGATGTCTGCTGCTCGTTCCCTCTGGGCGAGATGCTGCGTCTGTTCGAGGAGAAGGATGCCGAGGCTGTCATTTTGGGTACGCGAGTTAGCAACGATACCGCCACTAACTTTGGTTGCATTGTCTCCGATTCGCATACCAAGCGTGTTCTGCACTACGTCGAGAAGCCCGAGTCGCATATCTCCAACCTGATCAACTGCGGTGTCTACCTCTTCGCCACCGATTGCATCTTCCCCGCCATTCGTAGCGCCATTAAGCGCCGGAACACTCGTCCCCGCATGCTCTCCTACCCCTCCTCCGATAACCTTGAGTCGTCCTTCGTCGCCTCCCACGGCGATGACGAGGATTCCGAGAAGAGCGAGATGCTCCGTCTGGAGCAGGACATTCTGTCTGATCTCGCTGACAGCAACCGCTTCTTCGTTCACGAGACTAAGGACTTCTGGCGCCAGATCAAGACCGCTGGTTCGGCTGTTCCTGCCAATGCCCTGTACCTCCAGAAGGCATTCCAGGCCGAGTCGGAGGAGCTCACCGCGCCCTCTGCCATGATCGTGCCTCCGGTCTTCATCCACCCCACTGCCACCGTTGACCCTACAGCCAAGCTGGGACCTAACGTCTCCATTGGACCCCGTGTGGTTGTTGGTGCTGGTGCCCGTATCAAGGACTCCATTGTCCTCGAGGATGCAGAGGTTCGCCACGATGCCTGTGTTATGCACTCGATCATTGGATGGAGCAGCCGCGTTGGCGCCTGGGCCCGTGTTGAGGGAACCCCTATCCCCATTGGCAGTCACTCTACCAGCATCGTCAAGCAGGGCGTCAAGGTCCAGAGCATCACTATCCTTGGTAAGGAGTGTGGTGTTGGCGATGAAGTCCGTGTGCAAAACTGTGTTTGCCTCCCGTACAAGGAGCTTAAACGGGTATGTTTCTATCCACAACCTGACCCCATTGTCATACTAATGATCGATCTAGGATGTTGCCAACGAGGTTATCATGTAAACACATGTGAATTTGGTCTTTGGTTCTTGCTTCGAAAATACTACCCCTACCTATCTTGTTCATATCGAGCGACCTTCATTTATTTGTCTCCAATTCGTGTCATGGGATGGTCATTTGCTTTGACACCGTTCATACTTTTCTATCTTTTTACGTTAGAATGCAGCACATTGAAGTCGTTAGAGACAGAATCTAATTTTCTATCTACCATGTCCGGTGTCATTTCCAAACTTTTTACATACAAATCGGGCATCAATAGGGAAATCCAAAATCCCATAACGCCGTCATGAATACAATCATCAGTAAAAGCCAAGCAAAATGAAACCTCAATGCAGTCTCCACATAGAGACCAATTCAAAACAACCTCCTCGAAATACCAACGAATGACGTTGGAGCCACAAAATCCACCAAAATCAACAGCGCAATCACCGATGCATAATAGGATCATACCCTGTCTGCCCCCGTCTACTCATCCCCGGCGCCGCATCATAATACTCCGCCGCCTCACCCGCATGACTCTGCTCAAGCGTGTGCGCATAAGAAGTATTTTGATGCCTATACCCACCCGTCATAACAGGTGGCACAGCCTCATAACCACTAGCCGCATCCCGCTCACCAGCCAACTTGAGTTCCATATGATCCTCAGCCGGTCCCGCAAGTCCATACGCGCCTAATCTGTTCTGGCGCCGACGGACGATCCCGTCTAGAGCCAGCAGCGCGATGTTGGATGCTGTAGCGAGGATGGTGAAAGTGAAGAGGACCTTGTACATCCTGCAGACGTTTTCGCCGGTCGAGTTTCCCCAGTACTGGGTTGTGCAGGAGGTCAGGATTGTGTGGGCCATGTTGTAGCTTAGGAGGGCCAGACCGAGGGCCCAGAGGAGGAGAATGAGGAAGTTTAGGATTATGGAGAGTTTGGTGTTGAGGCTGCAGGCGCAGTTTATGAGGGATGTGAAGATGACATTTAGAAGGGAGAGGAGGGAGACGATGAGGAGCTGGGATCTGTTAGTATTATTGATCTATGGTAGTAGTGTGGTGGTGGGGTTTATGTTGTGTTGATGTTGATGTTGATTGTGGTTGCTGTGGAGAACTTACAATAAGAAAGGCGAAAGGTAATTTGTATCCATCGGCGTGGAGATGATAGATAAAGACGGCGAGGATGATAGCGACTATCAGGGACGATAAGAAGTTAAGGATACGGATTCCATGGAAAGGAAGAGCCGGGTAATCAGATGGTTTGGAGCGCATGATGTGTATGAAGGAAGAAAGAGCGGTTGCCCCCTTGTTTATTTGTAGTAAACATGATCGGCGTTTCCTGACACGTTGGGGCGTGCGTCACGGCTATTTTTATCGCGGCTGTGTACGTATGAGATGCAAATTCTGGGGCGGTGTCCGCACTAGACTCTTGGCTTAATTTGTAGCTTGTTTCTTAATTTTTTTAGTTTCAGTTTTAGTTCTAGGTTTGTAATTCGTTGATTAATGTGGTTGTAGTTTAGTAAAAGTATTCCTGAAGCACAGATCAGACAGTACCAATTTGGAGTATATCTGCCGGAGAAAAATATAGAGAAATGAAGACAAAAGAAACCGCGATTAATAATTAAAGTCTTCATAGAGGACCTTTTTCCCCTCCAACCAAGTCAGAACCCTTTTTTGCAATCCAGTTCCTGCACATAGATACCAAATTTCAGCCAACGAAGGATCCAAATCATCAGCCTGCATCCTGCGTTCCTCAATACGTGCGCCGGACGCCTGGATGGTATCATATACTGAGCCAAGACGATCATCAATATCCAAACTAGGACCGGTAACAAAAAGTGTGGTGGAAGTAGCCAACTGGGGCCATCGCTGGAATATATCATGCACCAGCTCCATATCATGAATCGATACCGACCAAAACAGGCGCAGACGACCAATATCAAGATCTGGAAGTTGCCCAATCAGAGGTGTGATACCAATTCCACCCGCGACGAAGGGTAGAATCTTGTCATTATCTGTGGACAAACGAAAAGTACCTCCAAATCCTTTGAGGGGCACTTTCAGTCCCGCCTGCTCGTTCGCACGGAAAAGATAATCGGTAACTTTGCCGTGGAGACGAACCGTCAGCTCGAACTCGTTAGCGGGGAGATTTCGGCCTGGGTACGAGGATACGGTGAATGTTCGAATATAATCATCGTTCAAACTGCTCGGGTCGTCATCGCGCATATGGCTATAACCCATATTCAACTCCTCCTCGAATGAAATCGTGGCATATTGTCCCGGGATCCAGGAAATGGGGTTAGAGCTCGAGACACGGAATCGTAATCGTTTGATCGTTGGTGTGATGGTCTCTTTCTTAATCAGGGTCGCTGTCATATCCCCAGCTGCCTCGGCATCAGGGATTCCCTTCTCCGTTGGAAGAAAGCGGACGGCTGGGTTATACGGAGAGAGCTCGCCGGGCACGCCACGAAAAGCTAACCCATTTCGCACGAATCTTGCCGCTGTTATTGTCAGTCGTATGGCAAGGTTGGATCGCGGTAACACTTCGGCGGCTTCTTTGCCGACGAGTATTTGCGTATCGCCCGTGACGTAGAGAACATCTCCGGATTCGAAGTCTGGAATCACCCATCCGGCTCGAGGGTTAACCTGCAGATTTCCTAGTGTTTGGTAAAGTCGGTTTCCTGAATATTCGGGATAGACGAGCACTGCGCCGCTTAAGCTATTGGATTCGACTCGTACGAAACCTGGAGGTCCACCACGATGATTCGTATCCATGTCTGTTTTTCCATGAGCCGAGGAGATGAATATCATATCTGCGCGGGACAGTAGTTCGATGGCTGCTTGAGTCAATTGGGGTGTATCGGCAAGTATTGTCGGGGCCGATTGAGCGGGGAAAATGTGCTTCTTGTTTAGATATTTGGGACAATTCCCGAGACTTTCTTCGATCTTAACAACTAGTTGTGCTTGTGCCACATCTCCGTCGTTTAGTGATCCTGCCATCATTCGGCCAAATAGTTTCACCCTTAGTCGATTTTCCAAATCAATCGCCAATCCAGAAACCATTTTCCCTGATGGCGAGGACGGATCCTCATTAGTCGTTCCATTCTGATTGCCGAGTAATTCTTTGACCACAGGGTCGCCTTTGCTGTCAACTAGTGTCCGAAGCCCAATGATAGACTCAGCGATGGGGCCCGCGAAGCCTGCTTGGCCACCCCATAGTGTCGACCATGGCCGTCCCTCTGCATCTAGCGTACCGAGTGCAACAAGGGGTGCCCTTTGTAAGAAGTCTCCCGCTCTGGGACTCAAATATGGCACCGATGGGTTGTCAAAGTCGGGCACCTTAAGTAGATGATGCATCGTATCTTCGCCATCATGCCAGGGCATCGGGCCATTTATGATCAAAGGCATCTTGAGATACTGGTCTGGATTTAATTGAGATGTGTTAGAGATGATTCGCATCCATGTGAAGTGAAGATGTTTTGTACAGCGTTGCGGCACGTTCCAGAAGACTATTAATAATCAGTATGGAAGTCACTTCGTATCCATAAGCGTCACTCGAAACAAAATGCATCCAATCATAAAGCTTTTGCATATTTTCAGTTAAATGTCCATAGATGCTATGCCGTATTTCTTCCCCTCATAAATGCATTCATTCATCATGTTGATCTCGCTACCAAAAGCTGCGTAGCCCCAAGCTCCATATTCTGGATGCTCTCAGCCATACATTCCATCCCACTCCTCCTCTTCATCTTCCTCCACGAGCTTCTTCCTCGCCTCTTCCTTCTCGCGTAGCTCCTTAGCGAAATCCACCCGATCAAGCGGGCAAGTACCCCGCAACCGCAACCAAGGCCGCACACACTCCATATCAAAGATGTGGGTGGGGTGGCAAGGCAATTTCACGACAAGGGGGTATTCATCTTCCAGGAAAGGATTGCCGCAGATAGGGCAGCTTTGGTCAGGCTTGAGTGAAGCTTTGGGAACACGATCGAGCACTAGAGGATATCCAAGTCAGACAACGTTTAATGTAAGATGTATGCATAGCACAGGGAAAGACGTACAATCACAGAATTCCTCACTCACACCCTCTACCTCCCGGGGTGGCATATCGGCCTGGCTAAGCAAGTTCTGAATCATCTGTGTAAGAAGATCCTCCCCTTCTGCGCCCCCAGTAGCGGCCTCGCGTCGCATCACCTCGAACGCCTCGGCGAGCGAGTAGAAAGCTGCGCTTACATCTCCCGGCACAGGAACTGCATGAGGACGGTGGTCGGGGTGGTCTGGGTCTGGGGAGATCTCAGAGAGAGTTGCAAAGAAGGTGGAGAGGTCAGGGCGGCGGCGACGCGTCGTAGATTGAGGGTTTGTGGCAGGGTCTGCTGTGCCATGTTCAACTGTAGGTGCTCCCGTTAGGTTAAATCTTGTTTGAAGGGTTGGATTTCTTTTACCTTCGTAGGTCGACATGGTGTGTGTTATGAGAGTTTGGGTTGCGGAGAAGAGTTTGTGTGCGGGGAGATCCCGTCTTGTGGTGAGGGTTTGTGGCACCGAGTTGTTTGGTTTTGTATTTCTTCGGTGTGACGAGGAGTAAAAAGGAAATCAGGTGAATTTAGAAAGACAGAAAGCAATTGAAAGATGAAAGATGCGGATCGGAGGCAGCAAAGCGATAACGCGGCGCGGGGAACATGATTGGGCCGTGCGTGGAGCTTCTTTATCGTTCGATTACATACTCTTCAGGTACATTTTCACAAGATGTATTTCAATCATGCCTTTGATCTAACAGTAGGTTTTCATTCAAAAAAGTTATAGTTATAATAGCATAAAAATGAAAATACCGTCACTTTCGGTCGACAAATGTGCAATTCACATTCAAAGCCTACACAACGCTGAGAGAGATGTATGGCTCCTCAGTGAAATGCTCTGGCATCGTATAAGTAATGTTGTAGAAAATAAAATCATTCACAGTCTGGTCGGTGTCATAGACAATGCTGTAGTCAGCACCAGCATTAGTCTTGACCTCTAGAGATAGACCAGGCAAGCCTTCAAGTCCAGTCACATTAAAGCCATTTCGAACGTTGAGTCCGCTGAATAAGAAGTTGAAGGACACTGGGCTACTCGATGCAGTGGCATTCGGGTAGGAGATTTTCAAAGCTTTCGGAGAAGCTACAGCATGAATAGACGATTCGGTCACCCAATGCGAGACGCATCCAATCTGGTAATTGTCGATCTTCCACTGAATAACAGCAGGGCTAAATGCAGAAGTGCTCTCTGCTGGTCCTCCAACAACATGCTCAGCAACAGTCTCAGCTCCAATAGTGATATTCTTAGACATCCAAGTAGTGATGTTTCGTGGATAGGTGTCGAATGGTGGAGAATAAGCCTGACCGGTAAAGAAGTGTTCCCCAGGGAACCTGATGAAGTTGGACTTCGATTCTGCGGAGAGATACTTCAGCATCTCCGGCATGCTAAGAGCAAATAGCGGGTAGAAGGCGAAATCATCTTGATGATACATGCCCGATGTTCGTTGCGGGAATGGAGCATATTCCCGTCCTACCGCTCCCCAGATAACTGCGCCAACCAAAGAAGTGTATTCCTTCATGTTGTAGCCATAAGTGCGATCCCAAGGGCCGGCAAGATTCTTTAGATTCGCATTATAGAGTCGGGAAATATCATTCCAGGTCGTAGTCAAGACCTCCGGAGCGTATTTCTTCAATAGACTGTCCTCGGCGGCATATTTACTCCACAGAGATAACGCCCACATAGAGACACCGGCATAGGTTGGGGAGTTGAACTCAGAAAGAGTACGATGCTGGCTCCAGAGATCGTAAAACTCCTGTGCAGAATTCTCCCCAGCCTGTGTCAAGTTCTTATCGCCCATCCGTGTACCAACCCAGCTTACTAGGATGGTCCCCATCAACCACGGATTCGAATAGCAGGGGTAAAGATTATCGCCATCGACTCCACCAACGCGGTATAGATCCCCCTTTGCCGCAATAAGGAGCGATTTCTCAATCTTGGCGACCGTCGCAGCTGGGAGCAGATGTTCATAATCGCTGAGAGCCATAAGCCAAGCGCACCCCACGAAGTCCCGGATGTTAGGATCCCACTAGCAAATTTGGTTAGTTGACACAAAACTAGATCAGAACGGGAGTGGCTTACTGAGGTATACGGTCCGCCATTGACGTATTCTGGCGTTCCAGGCTCGGGCTCCGACGGCGAGTGTTGGTAATCTCCATACCATTGCCAAGCAGGGTTGAGATATTGCCCTGAGATAACGTTGTCAAAGATGCGCACAGCTCTCGCAACATCCCCAGGTCCATTTCTGGCCAGTAACTGAGTTGCATACCAGCCGCTGTGCCGAGTATCGTAACGACCGTCATTGCTAGCTGCTGCAATCAGGTAGCCTGCTTCTTCGTCCCAGAAACCGTCGTTCCACTCAATTGCGGTATTGAACATATCATCGGCATATGTCGTGCCAGTCGAGTTGGCACGTCCGGTAGAAGATGGCATAGCCGACACCACTGTAGCAATCTGGGCTATATTCAAAGCCCAAATGGCGGTTTTTAGCTTCATCGCGATGCTTGAGGTTGTATACTCTGTCCAAGCTGAGGGAAATGGTGTGGAATTCAAAATGCCAGGAGAGTGGGAAAGCTCCTTGGGTACCTAATAAACCCCCACTATTGTCGGGACATGTTAAACTTATTTAAATACTTGGCTCTCTGGTCCATTAATATGGGACGATCGTTTGCAGCACCGAAAAATGCCCGCTAGGTTGGAATAGCGCCATCCGACGTTTCGCCGGTCTCCGGCACGATAGTTACTATCCTGCATGATATAGCTTCGTTGATTCCATTAATTTCACTCTCAACCCTGAAACGAGCTTCCATATATGCATTAGCTTGAAGCTGTCATCACTTATCTGCTTTCTGCACGGAGAGGTTCCTGCTTATCCGAGATCGCCTATCTTGAAAACGCTGTTTTTCTCCGGGTTCGCCGGTGATCACCTCGCCAATGACAAAAGGAGAACCGACTCTCCGTATTTAGTGTTTTGCCGATTTGATGGAGACGGACTTCAGCTAAAAATGCAGATCTCTGAGTATTTCCACCTATCCGGCTTGAGTGGATGTATACCCCGCGCCCAAGCACGTTCTTAGTGTGGGGAAATAGGGATCGTCAGACTCCTACCAAAAAGAGATCAAGATAGCGTGGGATGAAAACTTCATGAGTCAAGTCATTATGTAGTTGCATAGAAGAGGCGAATTGTTACCAATCACTTTCGCTCCAAGGTGTAAGTATCCGTTGTGAACGGTAAGAAAACTTTTGTTGACGCTATGTACTGGATATTTGAGATTTGACATCAGTCATACTAACTACCAAGGTAATTTTTACCGTTGCCTAGTTGTTCTCTTTAGGCCGAAGTGCAAGTTTACCGGCCTGGTTGATCATAGCCTCATAGCCATTCTTCTCCAGAATGCCACCATCATTGCTGACAACTTCCCGAGCTTCCAACTCCTCCACCAGACGCTGATTCTCACGGTTGCCTTCTAACAAGAATTTCAAGCACATGACAGCATGCTCCTTGATGTAAAGATTATTGGTGTCAAAGTTGGTACACGATAGGATGGCCTCGACACCACCGTAGCGACGAATCTGTTCCTGGACCTCGGGGCACTTCCAGACCAAGGAAGAAAGGACCAAGACAACCAATTTCTTGAGGTTCCGCCATTCGAATTCCGAGGGATCTTCGGTGATTGGAGGGGATTCCGGGCGTGAGTCGACGCTGCCAGCAACATTGTCAATCGGGTCTGGGTCACTTGGGTCATAAGGACGCTCAACGGCAACGGGTGCCGGTGATGAAGGTGACTGGTCGTCTGGTGAGGTGCTACGAGGTGGGGGTGGTGGAGGGGGAGGAACTGAACCATAGGATAGAGAGTTGAGTTGACCCTTGGGGATGCTGGCCTCTAGCTCCTTGATCAAGGTTACTAAGTCATAGACAATCTCCCATTTCACCAACAGATTCTTCCAGTCGTTGTTCTCGGTAAGAACGGCGAAGAATTCCAGGAACTGATAGACTCCCTCGTAAACCCGTTCCATATCCCACAAGTTGAGAGGGAAGTCTTCCGGAAGGGCACGGTCCGCGCGGATCTGGCCTTGCAGATAGATCAGAGCACATGTTTCTGGGATAATATTACCGCGGAAGATGGTAAAAATGTATCGGACCGTGAGAATATCAACCCGGCTGAGCGGTGATGGGGTTCGAGGAGTGCTATTTTGAGATGAGCCTGTCACCGAGGCCGGGGAGTATTTGGCACGGAAGATGTGCGTGAGAATCTTGATCACTACTGCCTGGGCTGGCGAGATGATATCTTTAGGCTGACCAAAGTCAGAGTAAGCAGCTGACATAAGCCCGTTTCGGAGTACAGCTTCCATGATCTGGACCATCATTTTGAAATAGAGCTCGTCATCTGGAAGGTCCCAGGCTGCGATGAAGATCAGAAGCTCACGGAGCAAGTTGCGACCAGTCTCCTGCGCAAGAAGAATGTGGCAGCGGAGAGCCTGCATGTTTCGCGAACCATTTCTTTCCCCGCCCTTGAGTCCAAAGCTATCCACGATTCCTGCTTGAACAATCATGGGCAGTGCTTCAATTTCAGCAGGGCCGAGGACAAGAGGGATGTCGGTCAAAAGGCCCCGCTGTTGATCGCCGGGGCGGCCACGGTAGTCATCGTCGTCTTCTTCATCGTCCACTTCTGGGCCATCATCAGGACCGTCAACATCATCTCCCTCATCCTCTTCATCCCCTTCAATGCTTCCATCCGCGTGGCCTTCCAGGCTGTGAGAGTCATCATCGCCCACCGTTCCTGCATCGGCCGTATCGTAATCCGCATCACCGTCGCCCAGGTGGGACGACTCCTGAAGACGCGCCATCAATTCATCCTTGGCCTCCTGCAAAGTCTCTGCTGCAGATTGAGACGACCGAGGCATGCTGGTGTCGTCCTCTGATACAGGGCAATCCAACAAATAATCGTCGACCTCAGGCAAATCAGCCCAGCATAAACGTGGAAATCCTGCGGTCATGCTGCGGTCAATAGTTAGGATAGTCTTCTTTTTCGTTGGCCCATGTTCGTCTTCTTCCGTCAGCGCAGGTGGCATTTCACGGGCCCGATCCTGAAGATCAGACCATCCATCTACTTTCGCTCCCAGGATTGAGGTTAACGCAGCGCGTATATATTTGACTTGCTCTGGATCTCGTCCCATCTCTTGAATATCAGTTAAGTCCCTCCCCAGGATCTTCTCCATGTGGTCCTTGATGTTTGCCAAGAGTAGCATAGCAGCTTCTTCCTTGATTGTAGAGGGCTCCCGCGGAAACTTGGCGATAGTTTCCAGCAGCAAGTCTTCGGCGGTTTGGTCATATAATGCCCGGATGGGTGGGTTAATTACACGCTCTCCAATCTTCACAACAGGCGCAACCCCCTCGGCCCGAGCGGTAGGGTCCAACGCATCTTTGGGTTTGATAATATTTGTATCAGCCGTAGAGTGATACCCGAAAAGATCTAACCAAAGAACCATCTTTCGCTGCTCATTGTGCATAATGAAATTATGCAGATATTGGAGGCAGGTTATCAGCAGGCGCTTGTAAAGATTGACCACCTTCTGCCAACGTTCTTCGTTGCGGGCATTGGTCTCGCCGTCAAACCCTCTAGCTGTCACTCGCACACAGGTATCAATCAAGGCGAGAATCCTTTGGTCAAAGCCTTTCGCAGCTGCCAGATTCTGTGCCTTCTTCGTCGTGGCGAGCAAATTCCGCGCAATTGTGCACAGGTCGTTAAGACGTTCGATATCCTTCACCAACGAAAAATAATTATATGCTATGAGATTTGAAGAGGAATGTTCGTAGGTAGCGGATGGGCTCTTCCATGCGAAAGACTGCGACTCGAGGACGGGAATCGCCTTCGTCAGGACATCTGTAAGGCCCTGCCAGATGTCTGGAGACATACCGAGGTTGTGCCTGAGAAGGGTTAGTATCAGCACAACTCAAACAAAGGTCCAACAGAAAAAATCCCATGAGGCAACATACCGAACTTCACTCTCCTGGTGTGTTTTGTACAGGATTTGCTTTCCAGCAGCCAGCATGTGCTCCAAGCGTTTGTCATCAATCATGCCCCGGGCTTCATAGTGGCTCAAGGTCCCAGCCAGTATCACCTTGAGCATTAGCTCTGGCGGTGTACATAATGGTTTGGGGTCAGCCATATTGGCGTCAAGAAATACCAGCGAGCACAGGCGAATCCACGGTGGGATGTAATCAAATTGATTGAAGATCTTATTTCCCACCGCCTCATTGACCGCCCGCGGGGAAATCACTAATAATTCCTTTTCAGGACTAGCTCACTGACGGATGTAGGCGGTGAAGACTTGTGTCTTAGATTGCGTAAACTCAAACTTTGGCATAACACCGCGTGTTTGGCCGAGCGGTTAAGGCGCTGGAGTATGTACACACTTAATGACACCAGTTCGAATCTCAGTACTAACAAATCTACAGTTCAAGCAAAGCTTAAGCACCGATCAACGGAGTTTGGAAATCCCAGTAACGAAAGTTGCGCAGGTTCGAGTCCTGCAGCACGCATTATCTTTTTTTTTTTCTTTTACTTTTTTGGCCACATGGATTTTTTACATGTAGCTTGCTCGGTTCGCTTGATTCGCCGAAAGATTGGATGGAATTTCAGAAAACAGTTTGCTGAGCTTGTCAACATTATCATGTAATTAATTCCTCGGTAGAGCCCCATAACATTTGAACCAAAATCTTATATACATGTTTTCCGCCTCACCGGCATCCCCATAGCATCTTTGAAGTTGTCCCAAAATCCAATGTCATAGATGTTATCCAGCTCGCTCATACTTTGAACTAGCCTCCACCGTGAATCAATTGGCACCTCACCGGTACGATTGTAATGGACACGGTTTGAATCTCCTTCCAGGATAAAACCCTCCATTGGCGGGTCCTCATCTGTGACCAAAATCTGGTCACTTTGTACCGGCCAAGGCTCATCGCCGAAATCCGTATATGGTGGTGCGTTTTCAATCTGGGTCCGCTTTGCCTTAAACACAAATCCATCCTCGACGTCGTCTTTCAAGTCCGACCATTTGGCACTTTCATTGGTCGTGGTGCCAGCCCAAACCAGGTAGCTATGATAAATCAAAAAGGCAGCCGCCAGCGGCGCCGTCATCAGCATCAACAAGGTCACAGTACCAATTTTGTAATCGGCGGTGATCACAAGTGCCCAAATATGAAAATACATGGTCCAGCCTTTCATGGCTGCTTTCCCCTCTACCGTCACTCGTGTCTCTAGGGTCTGGCAGAGGAGCTGATAACCGATAAAGGTTCCATAGACTAACAGAATTGTCAGGGAGAGTAGCATCGACATGAAGTAAACGTAGTTGTTGGCTCCAACACAGTTCATGAGCCATACACAGTGGTGATCATGTCGAGCCACGCAGCCTTTGCAAATATTGCAATGCTTGCTACGTGGCGGTTTAGGTAGTTCACAGGTTCGACAACGATGTCCCGGATGAAAGAGCACCCGATCATACGGGTATCGTTTCATCTCTTGGTCATGATTCTCGGATGTAATGAACGACTTGGTCGTCACGCATTTATAAAGCAGTAAATAGGGTAAGATCACAACCACGACAACCCACGGTTTATGAGCACCCAACATGCGAGGCCATGCTGGAGGAAGGAAGACAGCTTCCCCGATGGCGAGCAAGCCCACAAAAAATATCTATATTGCTAGATTAGAAACAGACCATCAACAGTAAAGTTTGACATCGGTTGCTGACCAGAATCACCGGGTGGTTTTCATTCCACATATAGCTACCTGATCGGTTCCATGCTCGCACAATATGCCCACCAAACAGATGAGAATCGAGGAAGGCAACCCCGTTGGGAATATGTACCCACACGACCCGGTGCAGGAAGGCGATAGGTGTTTTCCTTCGCAGAATTATAAGCTATAGCCTCGTTCTCGTCAAGTTCCTCTATCTTACCTAAATGCAGGCAAGCGTCCAAAAAGTGTGATAAAAACAAGTACTGAGATACCCAGGACTGTCAGCGCGATAATGCGGATGACCCCCATTGTGGTAGCGCCGACCTCAGGTCTCGAGGCCTAAAGGCCACCTCAAGACAAAACTAGTGAGAAAGAAGAATCACCACTATATTCTCACGTTTTCCTTATTGGTGCTCATGAAATTTGTCCCTGCTCTGCCCTAGGTTGAGAATGTTGACTTTACTGTGTTTCCCGCCGCGGCCGTTGACTGGGGAGTCACGTGGAGCCATCACAAACGCGAGCCGCCAGGGAGTGGATCTAGACTTTCACATCTCCCCACCATAAGAAGTCCAGGCTTCACTTAAGGCTTCATTCTTCAAGCTTGCGGCTTCCCGTCTTTGGGCCTTGTGCCTATTTGATTAACTTCACCTTGCAAGTGAACATGTCAACCACCTGCATGACACGGTGACACGTGATAACGCGTCAAAGAGCCTTTGATAGCTCACCTGTAGAGAGAAATTACCGTCGATGTCCAATCTGAAACACTCTGGTCGACAAATTCGCTCTGGCAAGATGACTTCTCCAGGTCAGGACATGCCGGACCGCAGCCTCTTCGATGACAAGAAGTTCTGGCTCTCACACTATGTCCCTCGGCGCACTATGTTGAAAGAAATGATTAAGGTATGTCCAAAGTTCAACTTTCCTCATGGGATTGAACGGAATCTCTGACTATCATCACAGAGTCATGGTGGCACAGTTGTGGGAGAAGAAAGATCTGCAGATATCAAAATAGTCGATCATAGGCAAAAGAATCTCCCCGCTGATTCGTATGGCACTCATCCTCCCCCCTGGAAGGAAGCACGTAACTTACAACTCCCGCAGCTATTCCTATCAATTCGTGGAGCGCTCTGTGCAGAATGGGAAACGCGAAGATATCGAGCCTTATCGAGCTGGTCCTTCGGCCCAAAGACCTGTTGGCGCATCACATATTCCTAGAAAAACCACCAGAACGGAGTATACCCTGAAGGATGACCAAATTCTCTTTGACTGGTTGTATCCTTATGAGTTAGAGGGTAACGCACCGACTTCGGGGAACAGCATCTACAAGGAACTCGCAGAGCAGGTATGCTGCACGTTCACTATCATTGGTCTAATATCTTGATACCAACTAAGTTCTAACCTGCAGTTCCCTCATCATACGTACCAATCATGGCGCTCTCGGTATCTCAAAAACATTCGTGGGAGGCCTCGCCCCGGTGGCGGAGAACCCAAACAAGACTTGTCCATCAGACAAGATCCCCGTTTACCACTACACCCTGCCGCAGAACCAGCACTGGGACCACTATCATCGCGCATTCCTACAACATCCAAACAGAAAGTTCCCCCCAAGCCTTCTCAGTCCAAGCCATCTGACCAAGATCACAACAAAAGAAAGCGGGCTTCTACCGGTGAATCACCTTCTCATCGGCGTAGTGAAAAGGGTCCGTCTTCTCCCAAAAGAAGATTAATGGAAACCTCGGAAGCCATGGATTCAATGGCGCAAAATATTTCCAATAGACGTGGTCCAAAACCGCGCGGATCACCAATGCGGTTATCCAGCCGATTATCCTCAAGTCCAGCGACGTCTTCGAAGGCCAGTCGAACCCATCAAAACCCCCCACCCCAACAAAATTCCCTGGAGGCTACCACTCCTAGCCGACCAGCGCCGCCACAGAACGAAACAAAGCCAGAGCAGAATCAAGCTATCCAATCTCAGAACAAGGCCAGCAGTATGGCCAATTCATTGTTTCTGGAGATGCCATTTCCACCAACCCCAGAGCCAGAGCAAAACCAGGATACCCAGCCTCAAAATGGGAACTATATGGTCAATACGCAGCTCCCGACAGTATCATTACCTTCACCTAATCCACAGCCCGAACAAACTCAGGCTGTTGAAAATGAGGCCGATATAATCAAGGCCCTGCTTTTGGAGAAGCCATCTCCACTAGCTAAACCAAATACGGAGCATATTCAGGCAGCCCAGTCTCTTAATGAGACTATGAAGGTCAATTCTCTGCTTCTGGAGATGCCATTTCATCCGTCCAGTCCAGAGCCAGAACAAGACGAGAATGAAAGTGAAAGTGAACACGATCAAGAAACTCATCCAGACATTGACAGCTGGATTGACGCTCGATTAACCCGAGGCGATGTGGAATTGCCTGTCATACTTGAAGCATTGCAAAGCACAAGTATGAACCCGGAATACGCCGAGCTAGTGCTAGAGCAATTCGCCGCTGGAAAGGGAGTTCCCCATGATATGCCGGGAGTATGGACGGCTGAGGATGACAAATGCCTGCAAGGTGGAGATCAGCGTGACATTGAACGTTTATTCAAGACACACGGCGAAGAATTATGCGAGGCTAGATACGAGTTTCTTAGGCTTATGAGCGACTAGATTGATTCTCTAAGCATGGCTCGAGAGGAATACAATCTTTGACTTTAATACAATGATACCCTCGGCTTGTTATGAGCCAGGAAATGGACTCTGGAAGCAGAACTCTGCTTTGAAGATTGAAGGAAACTGTACATACACACATTTAACCCTACCGTTGATAATTTTGAAACCCTCTGTATTTATCGTGAGATTTTCGGCCATTCAGTGTACGGATAGCACGTGTCACTTGCAGTAACCTTGGGTATCACGTGGTATCTGGATACGCAGGGAGGATGCAGCACTACTGTAGAGAACGACAATGAGGTACTCGCCACCAAGCCAGGTATGCATGGGGAAATTAGGAATTCTCCTATGAGCGTCTCAAACCACATCGAGATAAGATTTTATCCTGGCAAAAATAAGACAAATAGAAGTGTGCACGTATGTTATCCGAAGCCACTTAAATGACAAAATACCCATTATTGAAATAACTCCGAGAAATGAACTTCAGTACGACTGGTCTCCAATGCTGTAACGAGAAAACTGGCCATAAAAAAGAGGGAAATACGCAAGGCCCCAACTCCAGCTAAGCTCCGTGAGAAAATGACATTAACACAAATCCTGGAAGACTTCTGTTATCTGCTTTTCGGCTAAATTCGAAAACCGGCAGTGATACTCGCTTGGCTGTCAATTCTGCTCCAAGCGAGCGTATAACACAGTGGCGTTTCTAGCTTTCCTTGAACACCAAGTGATTTTCGTAAAACTTCAGCATCTAGAAACATATTAGCATGTTGGCATTGCATGTTGAGAGAGGGAATTAATCACCTTCTGCGGACACTTCTCATAGCAAGTTTCAATAGAAACTCGTGACTTTCTTCCGTTATTCCATAGTAATAGCACAAAGAGACCCTGGCTTTCTGGATCGCGAATTATGGTGTCAACGGCACCGAGTTCCTTGTCCCAGTTTTTGCCCTTGGGAACCCAATTGGTCTGGTCGTCGTCCTCACTGCCGTCCTCTGTCAAGGCCGGAGTCTCGGAAGCCATGGTCTGGGCTGCCGACTTTCGTCGCCTCTTGGTCTCGGTTTTCGGTGCTTCAGCCGGCTCTTCCTTTGGTTCGCCCATTGACTTGCGCTTACGGCCCGGGCCCGCTTTCACTGGAGTCTGCGGTAAAGGTTTCTTGGGCCGCCCACCAATCTTCTTATAGTATGCCGCCAGGATGTCCTGAGCACCATCCCTAGAGTCAAGCATGAGTATTTGCGCAACTATCCGGATTCAATCAATACAGGTCTTCATAACATACTTCAGGTTCTCCTCGGGCTCCCAGGTCATATCTTCGACCTTGTCATATCCTTTCCATTTCACGTGCAATAAGAGGGTTCCCTGATTAGGGTTAGCACGATTGTCAGATCCAAAGAAGATTCAGGGCGCATACCTTCAAGAAATCATGAGTAGCGATTGATTCAACGATATAGCTGTCCCGAATCAGACAAATTTATCCCGCGAAACATCAATCCGAGCTCAACTTACACGCCCTCGTCCTCCTCACTGGAGTCGTCTCCATTTTCTGCCTTGACATCCTCTTTGTCGTCTTCTTTCATATCCGTGGTAGCAGGAGTATCATCAGGGGTGCCATCTTTAGCGGTGCTGAATGGAATATCTCCCAACTCCTCGTCAGAACTATCTTCGACCGGAGCTATTGGTATCGGGTTAGCGGATGCGCGCAACGGGATTAAACAAAGCGCGTCAACTCACGGGGCATTTCGGACTTGGTAGCGGAGCGATTGAACAGACGAGAAAACAGCTTGACGGTACGAGGCACAGCGCCTCAGCAATGAATAGCAAGGAGCGATTGAGCGCGCAAAATGAAGCTGGAGATACACTGTCGCGCGTGGGAAGCTGGAAGGCGGACAACGCCACGCTAAGCCTGATTGAGCGACCCGAATTTAATTTGTGAACGCATTTCACCGCAGAGCTTCAAACCCCCTCCGCATTTTGTTATCAACGTCGAAGTTTGGTTGGAACTTCTTCTTTGTCTACTTTCTTTTTCTCTTTTCCCTCTCTCGGTTGTTCCTTGAGGGCTGTTTACCGTCAAAATGGCGATGCGTATGTTCTTCCTCCCCTTTTACTTGTCCCTCCCCGAATGCCCCTCACTATTTGTGCTGATTACTGACCCTGACTTTTGGCACTCACAGAGCTTGATCTCTCTCAAGGTGATTACTATCCAATCGGCTCTCACGCATGACTTGGGATCCTTGTGTACTAATACTCCAGGGTAGCTTCGGTGTTGAAGGATGAGCAGGGTCGTCCGTTCATCGTGGTTCGCGAGTATGTTTGCCGCTATACCCCTATACGACCGGATATTTCAATCCGACATCATTTGCAGAAAGGATATCGAAACTGACGATTGATTTTTCTCCCGTTCAGCCAAGGAAAGAAGAAGAGACAACATGGCACTGAGGCTGTGAAGTCCCACATTGTGGCCGCTAAGACCGTTGCCAACATCGTGAAGACTTCTCTGGTATGGACATCGGCAACCAACTACCGGATCAAGTACTAATACCATGGCAGGGTCCCCGTGGCTTAGACAAGATTCTTATTTCCCCCGACGGCGATATCACAGTCACCAACGATGGTGCAACCATTCTCGGCCAGGTCCGCTCTCCCGACCCCCTTTTATACCTTCTATGCAACATATCGCCAGGCACTAATACGACGGAATATATAGATGGACATCACAAACAACGTTGCCAAGTTGCTTGTCGAACTCTCGAAGTCACAAGATGAGGAAATTGGTGATGGCACAACTGGTGTGGTGGTGTTGGCTGCGGCCATGCTTGAACAGGCTTCGGATTTGATTGATAAGGGAATCCACCCCATTCGGATAGCCGACGGTTACGACCAAGCCTGCGAGATCGCCCTTGCGGAGCTTGATAGAATCAGTGACCATATTCCCTTCTCCAAGGATGACACTAGCAACCTGCTCAAGGTTGCCAAGACCAGTTTGGGCAGCAAGATGTAGGCTTTAGCTATCTCCAGCTTCTTTAGTGCCTCAACTAACTCTCTTTTAGTGTCTCCAAGTCTCATGATCAGTTCGCCCAGATTGCCGTGGACGCCGTTCTCTCCGTTGCCGACTTCGAGCGTAAAGACGTCGACTTCGAGTTGATCAAGGTCGATGGTAAAGTCGGTGGATCGCTCGAGGACTCTCTTCTTGTCAAGGGTGTGATCGTCGACAAGGACTTCTCTCACCCCCAGATGCCCGATGAGGTTCGCGACGCCAAGCTGGCTATTCTTACCTGTCCGTTCGAGCCCCCGAAGCCCAAGACCAAGCACAAGCTTGACATCACCTCGGTTGAGGAGTTCAAGAAGCTCCAGGATTACGAGCATGAGAAGTTCACCGAAATGATTCAGCAGCTCAAGGACTCAGGTGCCAACCTGGTCATCTGTCAGTGGGGTTTCGATGATGAGGCCAACCACTTGCTCCTCCAGAACAAGCTTCCCGCCGTTCGATGGGTTGGCGGTCCCGAGATCGAGCTGATTGCTATTGCTACAAATGGTCGCATTGTGCCCCGCTTCGAGGATCTGACCGCAGACAAGCTGGGTACTGCCGGTCTTGTTCGTGAGATGACTTTTGGCACCACAAGAGAAAAGATGCTGGTCATTGAGGAGTGCGCCAACAGCCGGGCGGTCACTGTCTTTATCCGTGGTAGCAACAAGATGGTAAGGCATTTTCCTAAATTGATGACATGTACGTTTACTAATCACGTTCACAGATCATTGATGAGGCCAAGCGGTCACTACACGATGCCCTCTGTGTGGTGCGCAACTTGGTCCGTGACAACCGTGTTGTTTACGGTGGTGGTGCTGCTGAGATTGCTTGCTCGATTGCTGTTGAGGATGCCGCTGTCAAGGTTCGTTATCTCTTTATCTCCTATCATATGGACCGAACTAACCTTTTTTCAATCTACAGAGCCCCGGAATTGAGCAGTACGCCATGCGCGCCTTCGCTGACGCATTGGACGCTGTGCCACTGGCTCTTTCCGAGAACTCTGGTTTGAGCCCCATTGAGACCCTTGCCTCCGTCAAGTCCCGCCAGGTCAAGGAGAAGAACACCCGCCTCGGTGTCGACTGCATGATGACCGGTAGCAACGGTAAGCCGAAACCATCTTTTACGACCTGTTTAGTGGCTAATATAATTCTTGCAGACATGAGGGAGCACTTCGCTATTGATCCCCTGATTGGTAAGCGCCAGCAGCTTCTGCTTGCTACTCAGCTTTGCCGCATGGTTCTCAAGGTACTGTCTACTGCCCTATCTCCCCAATATTCACTGTTCTAATACATATCTAGATCAACAATGTTATCATCTCTGGCGATGATGATGCTGAATTTTAAGTTACCCGCACATTCTAATACCTGATAGACAGCGCTGAAGTCTTTCTGGTCTGTCAGCGGAAAACAAAAAAAAGATTAAGAATCTGTTTGGACTCCTATGTAAAAAATGGTCCCTTAGAGCATTCTGAGTTGCAATGAGAAAAAGACTTATGATGATCTCTCATTATTCCTCTCGGTCTACCGCATAATCTTGTCTATGGTGGTCTTGGCTCCTAGTGGCCTCCATACTAAACTCAGTCCTAGCCATCAAGTAGTTCAAGCATACTTCCAGGGCCTGTATCACCCAGGTCAATCAATATGACTAGATACCAAATGAGTAGGCCTCGTATTGGAAACCCCAGCAGAACAACAAAACAATTTACACATGACCCCTGCTTTCATTCAGAGACATAATTGATGTCCATGCTCATAATTTGTCCTCATGTACTTTTTACCTCGATCACTGATTGAGCAAACTTTCATTTTTTACCAATAGCCTTTCAGATACCTACTCTTTCTAGCCTGGACTTGCCCTTTTCAGGTACTTATTCCATTTAGATAGAAGATTGAATGTGCATAATGCCTCGTGATACAAAAAGGCAGCAGTCAGTAGACTCTGTACCCATTAAATTCCATTTCCCATCTAGGGTATACCATCAGATCCCACGATTACACAAGGACAAATCTACGTGGGGGTCCGTGATCTTCGGGATCCGCCTGCAAGTATGAACCCGGTACGTTCACGAGGATATAGGAAATGCCGAGGGACCACGGCAGATACGAAATGAAGCACACGCATCACCCTTCTCTATCAACCTCGGGCTGATCGCAGGAAGTGATCTCATTTATGACACATCTCTTGCTAGAATAAGCAACCGAATGATCTCGTGAGGAAGTGGGCGCCTCTTGTGTGACTCTGAAAACAGATGTGAGAAAGATGAGCTACCTAAGTTGCCTAGTGTGGATTGACTAGATCGGGATCCTGGATCTGGTGGGTAACTTGTTTACATGCTGAGATCTAGCATCCCTGTTCGGACTTCGTGGGGGGTAGCTTTGGGACATATCGCTTGAAGGGGTACCTGCTTTTCGTTTCGGACGACAGGAAGTCGGGTTGCTTGAAGAACTGGAATGAGGTAATCGGTAGCACAAGCTTGGGGAGTGGAACATGAATAGTCAAAGAAGAAAACTATATCTTAGCTCTAAGCATGTCGCAAATGTTGATCTGAATCATTAGCGTTAGACAACGAATACTGGTCTCAGAAGCATGGCATTCCTTGTACTTTCTGTTCTCTGGGGATATACTTTAAAGTGGTATTTAATGTTGGACCTATAGGACCGAGTGGACTTTATCGTGTGGTATAACGATACATCGTCTGTTAACCAGGACGTCCGAATTGCAATATCGCGATGAGTCGGTCACCAGAAGCATAGCACTGTGTTTCCCATAAATAAAGATGTCTTCTTCAAAAGTGTACATGATTTCTTATTTTGGTTCTTATTGTGTAATATTCCAATTACAAAAATAAGAAACTCATGATCATCTCCTTTCAAATTAGGCTCTGGCTCCTATACTGAAGATTCAGGGTTTGATCTGGTCTGAAAGGGGTAACACAGCGCGTGGGAAGTATGACCCCAGTTCCCCGCGACTCGTGGTTCACAGAGTTCTGAAAATCGCTATCACTGCGGCTCAGTGATTTACCCAAAATATGGCATTGTGAGACCAGTTTGTTGGTCTAGATCAGTCTATTCTATTGCTTTCGATCCAAAGGTGGCTTTGTCCATTCATTCTCATGTCAACCAATATTTGAAGAGATTGATTTAGATTGTCATAGAGCGATCGGGCAAAAATAATTCGCAATTTCAGCCATCCAAACCTGTCATAGATCGTATAAATAGAGTATAAATAAGACCAATGACAATAGAGTCGGAGAATATGCATATTATGAGATATCAGAGGTGAGGATATTCTCTGTCAAGTCATGTCATTTCACGTGAAAATGACCTTATCTCGCAATCTATTCTGCTACTTATAGCGCCAAGGACATATCGGCAACGGCGGATCAAATAAAAGTAGGTCAAGCTTGGGGTAGGGCGGGCTGAGAAGGGCTGCAGATAGTCTATGAGCGGCGCCACGGACAATGTCAGCTTGAAGTTGCATGCATTAAGAATAGATTTGAGTTGAAACTCCGGCATCGGTCCAGATGTAAACTCATCGCTCTTCCTGTGTGAGCGCTTTGACAGGTACAGAGGCATGATCTGGTGAGCTTTTTCTTTTCTTTTCATCAGGGTGAATTGGAATATGCGAGACCAGCTTTCTCCGATGATTGGAGTGTATTGTGTGGCTGCTGCGTTCCCAGATGAGAAATAATGAAAGGCGCGGCCTCCGGAGTT